AGCCTATTAATAGTAGTGTAGCAGAGTACCTGATGTTAAACCTACCTTGATATTCCTTGAACCTGGTAGATGTTGCATTATAAACAATTCATTAGTAGTGTAGCATAGTACCTGATGTTAAACCTACCTTGATATTCCTTGAACCTGGTAGATGTTGCATTATAAACAATTCAATAGTAGTGTAGCAGAGTACCTGATGTTAAACCTACCTTGATATTCCTTGAACCTGGTAGATGTTGCATTATAAACAATTCAATAGTTGTGTAGCAGAGTCTCTGATGTTAAACCTACCTTGATATTCCTTGAACCTGGTAGATGTTGCATTGTAAACAATTTCAACAGTTGTGTAGCAGAGTCCCTGATGCAGTCCTCTATCTAGAAATTTAATCTTTCTCATCCGGGAACCAATGAATTGATATGTAGCAATTATCAAAGTCGTTTCTTCCCCCCCCCCCGCTCCACTCTCTCGGGTTTAATTTAAGCATTTAAACTTTCAATGGTAAACATTCGAGGATTCGAGCAATCCAATTAAAACTTTTAATCTTATTAAAACTGTAGAACTAAAAATTCGACTAACGATTTCTTGAGGCCCACTATGATTAAAAATTGTTCAAATATGGAAAATACTGAAATTTTTTTAATATTTTACAGGAAAGATTAGTCCGAGTTCCTAGATGCAGATTTGTTAGTTTTGTTTGAAAAAGATAAAATAACGATGAAAAGTATCTCACTGTAGTCCATTGGGGTTGCAGCGTCCCAATCCACCATGTAGTCTAGTTTGGTCTGACTGCTCTTCACGAACCCTGAGAAAACAATTCATTTATTGTTAACTAAAATATTCACATTTGGGTACAACTTTATAGAAATTTACGATTTGCTCGAATCTCTTATCTTTCAAAACTAAAGCTAGAAAAAATACCAAGAAATACTAACTTGTATATATATAGATATCATGAGATGAATATTTTTTTTAACATTGGCCAATTACTGAAATAATCAGAAAATACAAAGGTTTTAGCAAGTTTCTTTTGGCGTGAAACTAGGTGTCATTTATTACCCAAATTATCCTTTAATTCCGGTGTAACGTTAAATAAGGCCCGGGCGTTATATTTGGTCCGGGTTATAACTTTTTATAACTTAAATCTCGTATTCTAAATGAAAATTAAGTTATAATTAGAATTTTGTCAATGGCGTTATTAATAGTAATTAGGAAATAGGTTAGTTATATAAAGTAAACGATAATGCTAAACGATAGTAATTAGGAAATAGGTTAGTTATATAAAGTAAACGATAATGCTAAACGATCAAAAGTCGTGTTTAGGTTAGCCTGGAAAGGAATTGAGTCTTTATAACAAAATTAAATATTTAAACCTCAATATCTTTAGAACCCGATGTTGTAAACATTTGATATTTCAAACTCTGATTATTTTATTTAACAGAATTCATAGTTTGAAATATCTAAGGTCTGTAACATTTGGTTCCAAAGATAATAGTGATTAGAAAATCAGAGTTTGTGGCAAAGACTCTATTCCTTTATGTAGTTAGTTGTTGTATTACGCCCGGGCCTAGGCCTCATCATTTCAAGCTTCATTCATTAAATTGATTGTCCCCAAATATAAGAATCAACAAACCCGAATTTTTCCAGACATTAAGAACTGCGTCTTTGTCAAGTGTGTTCTTACAAGCACCAGTTTCCTCACAAAGCACAGGACAGCTCATGAGGAACATAAACAAGAACAGGAACACTATACCAGACATTTTACCCCTCGTCTTCTACAATCCACCAGAGAGAACAGTTACATTATAGTTTAAACATGAAAGCACAAGATTGAATTACAGTAAAATACATTTGACAAAATATTTATCATAAATAAATTCAAATCGGTTTAACAAAGATTAACAACATAAAACAGTTAACGACGAATGAATTTCTAATAATTCTATGGGCTTCTACATACACTTCATACTAAAAGCTTAAGACAATCTAGTCTAATACTTATAAAAAAGGAGTGCTTAGGATCCATTTCAATTTGATGCGGATCCTGATCAGCCCTGAAAAAAATTGAATCCGGATCCAAGCCTTGAGCTCACGATTTAAAAAATTCGGGAAAATACGACTCTGGTCTAAGCTGTCGTTTGGCTTTATTTACGGCTAGAGCTTGCGGATTCAAGCTGCATCTAATTTTCCACAGAGTTCAGTTAATAAACCGGTTTAATATTCTATTGGCGGATTTTCATGATAGGAATTGGCGCATTCCGGGTTTTATGAAAGCAAGGCTCAACACTGAACCCTTATTCTCCACTAAAACCAACCAAGGTCGGTTTTATTTTCATTGAGCCTAACTCCGTAAGTCGAACCGAAGATCTTTCAGCTGTCAATCACATGACACAAGCTGTCGTCAGAGTTGGGTTTAAGATTTGGTCTTAAGGTCGGGTTTAAGGAAATACGGCTCAAGCCGAAGCTTTTAAATCGCGGGTTCTGAACACTTTGCTGATTTTTGTTATCAAATGAAAAATTTCAACAATTTTTTCGCTCAATTTATGCTGAAACTTAGTGAGCTCGGGATTAGAAAGTTTTTATGGTTAATATTTTGCCCCTTGGATCCGGGAACCCGCATATTTTTTGCGGATCCGGATCCAGGAAGACAAAACTGCAAACAATCAGTTCTAAATTTATACACGTCAATTAATCCAGAATAATAATAATTGAAATGGCGGTTATTTAACATAAATTTAATATATACCAGTCCAAGATGCTATTCTCAAATAAAGATATGCAAATAAAGAAGAACTAGTTCGGCAACTTAACTGGTCTCACTTGAAAAAATAGATACCACCCCACACTCTTCTATTTTTACTGAAAAAATCGGAATTTAAAAAAAAGAAACGACCCATCAAATAAAAAATAATATAAAATTATCACATAAAGGTTTTATAGTTCACATCACAAGGTTTACGGTTTACAAACTTGGAAAACATTAAGTTCCGAGCTGGATTATACATTTACAAACAAGGAGTTCACATAGTTAGCCCAAATTTCATATTTTTGTATTGGTAATTGGACTGTACAATTTTTTTAAGAGGAAGTTTGGGATCAATAGATAAATACAGCATGTGCACTTGTCAACTTACTAACACTGATGCAATATTAAAACTAAGCACTAAATGCGATCTGAGCTTTAGATCAATAGTTACAAGTGAACAATATATTTTCTAAAATTGCACCATCACCATAAAAACTTGCGGAGGGGGTTGGAGGACTGAAGGAAGTGATATCTTCAGAAAATATATATCTAAATCTTATCATGCTGGTATTGGCAGATCATTGTACTATAGGTCGACTCTAGTTTAGAGAACAGACTTTTCAATCATGATTCGTTCGAATCCAGTCGGAGGTGGATAGCTAAACTGTTCAAACACTGCGTCTAGTATAGCACCTTCATCAACTAAAATAAAAAAGTTATTTTGACACCCAACTAGTAATAATCTAAAAAATGTAAAACATATAGTTTTCACTCTTGAATTAAACAAGTTTATGAAATCCGCGAATCTTCTTCTAGAAGCGATACTAAAGATTTCAAGGCTATCATTATGTTAAGGGTTCCTTGATATCGAAGATATCACTCGCGCAATCTTAAAAACACTTCTGCTATTTATCTATTTTATTTCATGTAACCATTAAAACAAGATACATCACTGATTATTCTTAAAGGGGCAGTTCACTTATTTGGGTAATTTGAAGGTAAACTAAATAGCCTATTAGCTATTCATTGGTATTGCTTTTAAAAGACAGCTGTGACCTGAGAAAAAGCCAATTTATCATTCAGAATTCCGGCGCAAAGGTATGATACCTTGTTTGCAATTACATTTACTCTATTTGATGCTTTTTGTCAGTCATAGATTTTTAAAAATTTAAAAATATCAAATTAAATTGTAGTATATAATAGTAAATTATATAGTTAATTAAATTATTGTAAAATTGTTTATTTTCAAAATATAACTTATTTTTAACATTTAACGGTGTGATAAGTTTGCTCTACTACCCCAGAAATCTCCGCGATTTATTGAAGAGGTGGAATCTAGGAACCGGTTTGTCTGAGAGAGAAAATTGTCTTTGTATAAACGTGTTAATTTGTTAAATCATGTTAATTTCTTGGTAATTCTAAAATCAAAAGTTTTTATATTTTATTATATAAAAATGATGTCATTAAAATATGATAATTTTATATTTTATTGGACTGTTGTTACTGAAAAAATGTTTAAATAGTGTCTATGCAAAGGCATCATACCTTCCCGCTGGAATTCTGAACGATAAATCGGCTTTCTCTCCGGTCATAGCTATCTTTGAAAAGTAAGACTAATACCAATGAATAGCTAATAGGCAAATTAGTTCACCATGAAATTACCCAAATAAGTAAAAATGGTCCCTTCACAGTATTAACGCTCACCATAGAAGACCGGGAAAACGGTTCCTTTGATCCCTAGGACTGGAGTATCCAGGTTTCTACCATTACAGTATATATTGAGCTCAACATGATCGTAGGAGAACCCTAGGATATCTCCTTCCTCTGCTCCAGGACTTATCTTATACTCCTTAAACAAAATAATATCTTCAAACTTCGGAGGATAGAATCGAAATCTTGTTACCGATTGGACTTATTTGGCCTGAAAACTTTATCGATCGTCGCGAGGGCAATTTCTAACTCGACTAACTGGTAATCGGATCTCAAGTTAAAATAAAAGAAGGTTAAAGAAAAGCAAATAAAAATTGGATTTACTAATTACCATCCAATAAATGAAACATCAAAACTTCCCTAATATCAGGAGAGTATAATCTTTTCAAAGGATGGAAGAGGAAAATATAAGTTTCATAACTTTAGAAATCAACATTGATGATTTTCTAAACTTGACAAAAAACAGCTTTTCATGAAAAACTTGACAACTTAAAATTATCTACCTGTTGACCTTTTGTACGAACAAGACCTGAATCTGTAATAGCCCAGGAGCAGTGATCCAACCCAAGATCCTGAAAATATGTTATATAGTTGTATATTTATGGAATAATAAGCATAGTTCAGTATTAGTTTACCTTTTACAATTACATGTTTGACTTGATAAAGCCGATATAAAGTTTTAAAGGGAGTGAACGCAAAATCTGAAAGCATAGAGCCCACAAAAATTCATTTAGTTGCATTATTCACAACTTACTTTATTTAAATCCGCTGAAGGAGTAGCAATCCCTACACTCCATACCCCTCCTTGTTGTATCTTGACCTCCCAGTATGCTTTATCCTGTAGTATAGGAGAGCTACCTCTAGCAGCTCCAGTACCACATAATCTCATCCCGTTCTTCACTACTACAGCTTCCTGGCCCATAGTAGTAGTATCCAGGATAACATCTAGATACATAAATATTGTTCTTAGGATTTCTAGATATATAATATAAACTAGGGATATGTTGTTTGGATATATACTCAGTACATTTGCAGGGGTGTATTTTTCTTAAAAAATCACCCCCCCCCTAAAAAATAATTGTTTTTCCTTAAAAAGTTTGCTTTTTAGTTTTTTATTCACAGAATTGGAGAAAACACAATGATTTTTCGGGGGAAAATAAATTAAGTTTTAGGCTTAAAGTATCAAAATAAATGAAAAAACTTTCTTTTCCCGGTCAATCCACCCCCCCCCCCCCCTACCCTAACGGATTAATTCTTGACAATTTATACCCCTGTGAATTTGCAAGAATATCCGATATCCAGGTATTAACAAGTTCAATTTAACTCTTTTTGGGATATTAATTTTTATTTTAAAATGCATTGCACAACCTAGATATCCATGTAGGATATATACCTGGTATAGGTTGGGAAGCAGGTATATCCGGAGACACAGTCCAATCTCCCTCCCCGTACAGACACCCAGATACTAGGTTTATACACTGACCAAACATTCTCAAATACAGATCTTAACCCAGCTGTCCTCAACAATAAAAATGGCTTTAAATTATCCCGGAGTCTTTAATTGATCCAAAAAATCTATATAATAAAGCTCTTCACTTATATATATGTCTATATATAAATTTGGCTTGTCTGTCTGTTTGTTTGTCTGTCTGTCTGTCTGTCTGTTTGTATCCAATAAACGTCAAAACGGCTAAACCGATCGGGCCCAAATTTTTTGTAAGATATCTAGGGACCCCAGGGAAGGTTTATGAATGATTGAAATTTTAAATATTTGTCTCCATCGAAATTCGATCTTCATTAAATTTTTAAAAATTTTGAAAATCCACGAAATTTTTTGTGAAAATCCGCGAAATATTTTTGTTTTGTTTTACGATGTACACAAGAGAACATGTTCACAATTAATTTAGAAGATGGGCGCAGGCTAGTATATAATATAAATGTAGTGTGATAAAGTATGGTTTTTTTACATCATGTTTGTTTTATTGTATGTATCTATATGTAACATTAATTTGAAAATTAATTTAACATCTCGTGAAAATCCGCGAAACATCTGTGAAAAATTCTCAAACCATTCATACTGATGATTGCATAAAAAGCATGAAACAATTTGTTTATGAATAAAATGTTATAAGAAGATTGTTGCGTTTCAACTGATATATAATATTTATATATGTTAGCTATAACTGACCAAACGACTGGACCAAATTGGCTCAAGTAAAAAAGACTAAAAAATTACATTTTCTAAAACAGATTCTTTTTAAAACTCGTAATAGATTTTTCCAGTGTTTTTCAAATTTAATGAGCTACGCCGGGTTCTTCATTTAGTAGTTAGTACTTCATGAATATAAAAAAAACGTCAAACTAACCTAAAGAACTCAACTATTTAGCCTCCTACATATTTCTTGTTTAGAAATCTGAAAAATAAATTTATCTTGATAAAAGTTGAAGAGCAAGATCTTCGTCATCTTCTAATGAGAGTCCAGTGTCAAGCGCAACATTTTCTTCCTCTAACTTTGCTTTCTTCGGTATTCTCTTCTTTATCACTGTTATCTTGTCCGCCTTCTCCTTCACCTCCGTCTCTCCTTCACTCTCCTCCTCCTCCTCTTCTTCCTTCTCAGACTCTTCACCTCCCTCCTTACCATAGATCTAAAAAAAACGTTGAGATAAAAAATAATAATTTGTTTTCTTTACGCTAGGAAGCCTCGAGAATTGTGTTAAGTTATATATCAATTTCTCGAGACAGGAACATCAGATAGAACTCTTATATGTCTCGATCAACTCCTAAAATGCTGAGGTTTCAGCCTATACCCCCTTTCATTTATCCTTTTTAATAATATGTAAATCCTAGGACATTTAAGATCGTTAATAATTTTTTTTGAAGGGAGAACGTAAGGTAGAAAAGACTAGAAACCCGTTTGAATATACCAAAAATGGATGGCAAATCCGAATGTTTGTATTTTGATAATATCCTGATTCCTGATCCGCATAGAATTAGAACTGATTTAGAATACACTTGTTACCTTATCTGGATCTGGTAACCAAGACAAGTCAACACTCTCTCCACTGTCGCTTTCACCCTCTTCTTCTTCGTCCTCTTCTTCACGTTTTCTTTTCCGAGCCTCCTTCTCCTTTCTTTTCTTTTCCTTCCGCATCTCCTTGTGTCTGGCTCTCTCCGCCTGCTTGTCAAACTTATCCTCCGCTTTAAGAACCTCCTTAGCTCGCTCAATATCAATACCTCCGCCCTCACGATCCAGTGTCTCCGCCTCGTAGAGCCTGCCCTCCTCACTAACCTTCATCTTGGCACTATCCGTCTTCACATCTCCTTCATCATCAAACAAAACCTTACTGTTAGGAATTATGTTCTTCTTCAGCATTCTCTTTGCCATCTGAACCTTGGAGGTTATCCTGTTCTTGTTAAACCTATCAACCTCAGCATCTTCTTCGACATCATCTTCTATCTGAACATTGGTTCGTTTAACTGTGAAGATGTCTTCATCGCTTTCTGCGTCACTGTCAGCATCAGCTGTCAACTGGATCTTCTCACTTGCATTCTTTATATTCTCCATCTCCACACTTTCATCATCTTCCTCTTCATCTTTAGCGACTTCCTTAACATCCTTCTTCTTCCGAGCTTCGATGATTTTCTTCTGTTTGTCTAGAAAGCGAACCCTGGGAGGAGCAGCTAAACCTAGACTCTCCGCAAACTTCTCCGTCTCAAGTTTATGAACATTAAATATATTTTTATTCTTCATAAGGTAGACGGACTTAATATAAGACTGGAAGGCCCTCTGTGCTGATTCTTTAAGGTTCTTGTCACTGGCAAGATGTGCCGCCATTTTCTTCTCGATTTGTTGAAGCTTCGCGGGGTTTATCTGAAACAAAAACAAGCATATTAAGCACACTGTTAAAAAAGATTAACCTATGATATCAATCTAATTTATTTAAGGTTAAAAAAGGCAATACGGTTCAAGACGTTCTCTCTTAATTTTTTCTTCAATTGAGAAAATTAATATGATAGATAGATTGGCAGCGATTTTACCTCAATCTTTGAAATAGGTATTTTATGTGCATTAAGTTGTTTCAGCATTCCCTCCTCCTCCTGCGGTAGTAAAACTAGTAAACTTTCTCCAGCTGTATTATATCTTGCAGTTCGACCAGCCCTAAATATTATCTAGAAATTAGTTCAACTCTTTTAATAAGATTAACTTTCTTTTTTTTCAAGTTACAAAACAAATTAACTTTTCATGCAGATTGGCTTGCAGCAAAGGTACTCGAGTCAACTTTTATGTCTGAATACAATACAATGCACCTTGTAGTGTACAATGAAAAATGTACATATATGTAACTCTTACCTGTGTACATATGTAACTCCGTCCTCCGGACAATCCAACTGTACAACCCAGTCAACAGCAGGGAAATCTAATCCTCTAAAATTAAAACAATGATAGGAAAGAAAAAAAATAGATCGTTTTGACTATTATTATTGTTATGCTCTAATCAGATTATTAGCATTAGAAGGAGATAATTAATTGTCCAATTTTTTCTAATATAGTCTTTATATGTACTGTACAGCTTGCTCTAGTTGTTTAAAGTCGGTCCTGCACTTTTAATGAACCTAAGATTCAAACACTCGATTCATTAACGGTTACACATTAAACAAATCCGGGCTGAAAACCCACCTCTCAGTCAGGACTTGAAACTCCAAGCTGTAGAGTGGAGCCTAAAGCTTTCCCTAACACTCATGATTTGATTTGATTTGAACCTAAGATTTCAGTGGCATGCATGCATATCGTAAAGATTTCAAATAGGTTACAGGAGAGTGGGGGGCTATAATATTTAGGTAATAACTAAATAATTGGGTACTTGCCATTAAGAAAAAGTCTTTAAAGGGGAGAATCCTTTCCAAATTTTCTACCTGGCAGCAATATCTGTAGCGAAAAGAACAGCTGATTCCTTTCCACAAAACTGATCGTAGATTGCCATCCTTTTCAACTGATGTAGTGTTCCGTACAGAGCTAGAACAGACAACCCAGGTCTTAATCTAGATACAACAAATAAGAAATGTTATCATTTTAGTAATTTTTTTTCATGTCTGATTATGATAGATTTAAGTAAACACTAGCTAAACTGCCCGGCGTTGCCCGTGAAACTTGAGAATTACGGTTGAAATAAATTCGAAATTTCGAATTTAAAAAAGTCCAATGAGGTCCTTTAACAAATTTCAGCCAACTAGGACCAGCTGGTTGGCCAGCTATAGCTAACTTATATATGAGCGAAGAGCTTTATTATATATCTTATAAATATTGACGTTAAGAAACAACTATTTACCTGCAAAATATTTCATAGATATATTTAACTTGTTTACAACTCTGCATAAACACGAGGATCTTCTTCTTCTTGTGATTCTTCAAGAAAGACCACAAAATATTTATCTGAAACAGAATAAAAATCTAACTTAGGTATTTCTTTTAGAACCCACTAATCCTTAGCTTTCATGGTCTCACTGATTAAGTGAAATCATTATGGTCGGATATTTGAAATTTATTTAGTGAATATTGAATGTTATAAATATTTACGGCCTCGTCAAAATCTGACAATTCACGTATAGAGATTTTGAAAATTTTTAGAGAAGTGTGAAGCTACTCAGTTATGATGTACTGATGTAAATCATCCTTGTTGAGCGTTCAATCGGAACTTTTATGATAAATCAACAATTTTGGTAGTTTCCTTAAACAAGATTCTTTGAGCAACTTAAAGCTGTATGTCTATTAAGCCTATTTCTGAAAATTTTCAAGTTGTCTTCTTATCATTACCTTGTTTTGTAGATCTGTAACAATGTAGGATTGAGTAAGATTATCTGGGGTTGTATGATCTGAGTTTTCATGTACAGATACGTAAACAGGGTTCTCTAGACTCAACCTTGCCAGGTCAGTTACACTCCTTAACACCAGCTTTTATCAGATTTTTAGTTAATAATCACCTTCGATTTGAACCAGATTTTTTGGCCCGGACAGTTTAAAGATAATAATATAATCTTTATATAACTATTTTTGTGTTAATTGCTGCGATTTATAATAACTAGGCTTTTATCTATTATTTCAACTTTTATTTGTGGCTTTATCTGTGAGCATTTTCTCTTTGTACACTGTACAGTATATAAAAAAAAGTTTGCGGATTTCATAATATTTTTTCGCGTATTATCAAAATTTTAAAATATAAAACTTTTAAACAAAAATATTTTAAATTTGGATCATCCATAAACCTACCATGGGGTCACGTGAGGTCCCACACAAAATTTAGGCCCGGTCGGTTCAGCCGTTTTGAAATTTATTAGATACAAACGGACAGACAGACAGACAAGCAAAATATATACATATAGTCATCAGTTTGAATTTAAGACTTTAAGCCTATATAAATAAGTCTATTAAAAGAAAATAGCCTTTTAACGCCTAAATATTTAAAATTAAAATCAAATCCCATTCCTTCTCCTAATCAATTCCTTTCCTTTAGCAAATCCTAATCTTGATCCAATCAAACTCCTAACCCAAACTAATCCTAATCTTGATCCAACCATACTCATAACCCTAACTAATCCTAATCCTGATCCAATCATACTCCTAACCCTAACTAATCCTAATCCTGATCCTATCATAATCCTAACCCTAACTAATCCTAATCCTGATCCAATCATACTCCTAACCCTAACTAATCCTAATCCTGATTCAATCTTACTTCTGACCCTAACTAATCCTAAGCCTGATACAATCATACTCCTAACCCTCACTAATCCTAATCCTGATTCAATCATAATCCTAACCCTCACTAATCTTAATCCTGATCCAATCATACTCCTAACAACTAATCCTAATCCTGATCCAATCATACTCCTAACCCTCACTATCCTAATCCTGATCCAATCATACTCCTAACCCTCACTAATCCTAATCCTGATCCAATCATACTCCTAGCCCTAACTAATTCTAATCCTGATACAATCATACTCCTAACCCTAACTAATCCTAATCCTGATCCTATCGCATCCTAACCCTAACTAATCCTAATCCTGATCCAATCATACTCCTAACCCTAACTAATCCTAATCCTGATCCAATCATACTCCTAGCCCTAACTAATCCTAATCCTGATCCAATCATACTTCTAACCCTAACTAATCCTAATCCTGATAAAATCATACTCCTAACCCTCACTAATCCTAATCCTGATCCAATCATAATCCTAACCCTCACTAATCATAATCCTAACCCTCACTAATCCTAATCCTGATCCAATCATACTCCTAACAATTAATCCTAATCCTGATCCAATCATACTCCTAACCCTCACTATCCTAATCCTGATCCAATCATACTCCTAACCCTCACTAATCCTAATCCTAATCCTGATCCAATCATACTCCTAGCCCTAACTAATCCTAATCCTGATACAATCATACTCCTAACCCTGACTAATCCTAATCCTGATCCAATCATACTCCTAACCCTCACTAATCTTAATCCTGATCCAATCATACTCCTAGCCCTAACTAATCCTAATCCTGATACAATTATACTCCTAACCCTAACTAATCCTAGTTGTAATTCTAACCTGGTTTGTGTTGCTGAGAAGAGTAAACTTTGTCTCTGTGCCGGTAAACCATCAATGATTGAGTTCATGGCTTGTTGAAATCCTAGATCCAGGCATCTAAATAAATTCAAAAGGTTCAAAGATTGAGAGAGAAAATTTTATGAAAAATGTAGAAAATATGGTAGGGTATTTGACCCCCACCCCACCCACAAATTATTTATGCAACCTCGCGTGACTATTTATTCATCTTATCTAACCTGGATAGGTTACTAAGAAATATTTGAAGGGTGGGGGTGTCGCCACAACGTCCGTAGCAACAGTACTGAACCCAATTAAGTTTAGTATTATTTAAGCAAAATTACAAGGTTATAAATGTTAATTTTTTATAAAAGGATTTTCTTTATTACCTATCCGCTTCGTCTAGAACTAGAATCTGAAGATTGTCCATGTTGAATGCTGGATTCTCGTCTAAATGCTGCAGAAGCCTGAACAATTTCAAGTAAAAAATATTTTCAAGTAAAAATATTTTCAAGTAAAAATGAAAAAAAACTCCAAGGGCACAACAAATTTACTGAAAGGAACTGTATGTAGACTTAATTTTAAGTGACCCACCATTTTAAAAGAGGCATGTTCGATTTTCAAACCTTTGAATGATCAAGTACTTACTAAAGAGTTATCCTTATACTATCCAAAGAAACGCTTGTAATTGTTGATTTATCACGGAGTTACAGAAAATAAATATTTTCCTTAAATTTGTTGAATCCCGCGTAATATTCAGGATTTTGAGAGGAAAAGTGAACTTGTGAAGTCATTTCTCAAGGTTCATTACACTTTAGTTTTCCATCGCATAAAACGATAAAATACGTATTTCTCTACCGTCGATGTCCAGACAATCGGACATGCCAGTGTATAAATAGGGGGAAACTGAAAACTACAGTGTGTCTCTGAAAAAGTGAGTTTAGGCTTTTTAGACTACTAAACATCGTTTAAATGTGCAGGTACAATTTTCACAAATGGGGGGGGGGGGAACGTCGATTAAAATTTTTCTCTAAAATGCCGTGTTAACCTTCAAAAGCGGACCTAATATGCTAAAATGTGCTCGGTTTTGTACATAAAAGAAGTACTTTTAACACAAAACAATGATGTTTAGTGGGCCGTAATACACATTTTTCGGAGACACCTTGTATGTCTAGAGTATTTTAGAGTTTAAGATGTAAAATTTACTTAACAACGGATGAATACTGTAGATTCTTGGTCAAAAAGATATTTTAAAGCCATTTTCGACATCTGTCACGTGATTACGCTGCTTGTCTCTTGACTAAGAAGTTAAATCTAATATTAAATGTTCCTTGTTTACCTGCCCGGGGTACAGACCACAATATTACAACCCTGCAATCGTTTCCATTCAAACTTTAGATCCTTCCCTCCTATGACGAGACCAGCACTGATAGCATGGAATTTTCCGACCTTTCTCAGGGCTTCAAATATCTAAACAAATAACAGATCTTCAACCTTTCCTGTGGAGGGGCTTAAAGTGGGAGTAATCAACTTTCTTCAGAGTTATTTTTTGGTTTGAAAAACAATCACTCCACAGCACAGGAGGAGGAATAATAATTTCCTCCCTCCCTCTCAGAATTGAAAAAGGTTGGAAAAGTTTAACATTGTAGATAAAGATTAGAATCATAAATATAATAACAAATCTGGAGGAGAAAAATTAAAAATTCGTTGTAACAAAGTAAAGTTTTTTCATCCTTTTTTAAAACATTTGTTAATTTTCCTTTAAATAAATATTTATTTTCCCAATTTCAGCGAATAAAACCATGAAAAAAACATCGAACTTCTGAAAAAAAGGGGGAAAATTATTTTTACAGAAAATAAACATCCCTGAACTAATCTAGAAGCAATATTCTTATTTGATCCTAGGAAGAACGCGAACCCTCCCATCAAGTTCACATAATGTACAATCCACCTTCCTTGATTACCTGGTATGCTAGTTCTCTAGTAGGAGTAATGATCAGGGCACCAACACCATCTGTTCTACTCCACTGTTCAGTATACAGTTTCTCTAGATCAACCATTCGTTCAATCCGTCATAAAATTTATTTACCAATATGTTAACCAATCGAGAAGGAACTTGACAAAAATTCTTTCAGTTTGATGAAATATAAATATAAAATATAACATATTCCTTTGCAATATTCGGGTGGTTGGGTAAAAGGTAAAAGAACCCGTTTTCCAGTTTTGGNCCCCGATAAAAACCATAAGCCGCCCCTGAGTAGCAAATTATTAAATTTAAATGATTGCACTGACCTATTATCGGAATTATAAAAGCTAGTGTTTTTCCAGATCCAGTTTTAGCAGCACCAAGAATATCAAGACCTCGTAAAGCCAATCCTGTAATTTAAGTTAATGAGAAAAAGGGTTTAAACGATATATCCTAAACCTTTGAAGCGTAGGGCTTATACCCTTTAAATATTACTCGTTTTAAACAATAAATATTTATCGAGTCATATTCTAGTTCGAAAAATGTAAATCTTTACGCTTAAATGTCCCTTAAATATTTCATTTAAGGGACTGTAAGCGTAAATTTAAGTGACCCTCCTTGGAAAGATGGCAATGACCGATTTACAGCGGTACTTTTAAAAGCTTTGACTCGAATAGGATTTAGTAATCGATATTTTTGTTTCCTTGAATTGTTTATTTTTATTTGCGGGTTTTCTGCGAAAGTGTCCAAGCACATTTCTTGCTTTTAAAAAGCAGTGGAGAAATTTTCAGAATTTAACTCTTTCCCGCGTCAGAAAAACGATTCAGGTTTCAAGGGCTTTAAATTGAGCATTGCCATATTTGATTGGAGGGTCACTACCTTCCTTTAAGGAATAACAGTTTCCTTAATAAAATGCATACCCATGGTAGTGGTTATATTTTACCTATTGATTCTCGTTGAATCTCTGTCGGTTTATCGAATCCAGCTTCTTTCAACCCTTTCAGGGTCTCTTTACTCAGAGGAAACTCACTAGATAGAACAGTAAAATATTAGATATTAAAGAAACAAGGAAAAGAACGCAAAAGATATAAAAAGTTGTGAGTAATCCATAATAAACATTTTGCAAACAAAAGGACTGAGGAACAGACCTGAAAGTTTTTATAGTTTTTGTGTCAATTTCTTCATATCTTGATGTTAGTTTGTTTATATTCTCCTTCATTGTATCTATCTTCTTCACTTTCTTCTTCTCCTCTTTCTTAGGATGAGAAAATTTCTTGTGTTTGAATTTTTTATTCTTAAACTTGTCTTTCTTCTCCATTTCTTCTGAAACATTGAGATTTCCGAGCTTCGATTTGTGCTGTTGGTTTTATGACAGGTTTAAGTATATATTTTCCAATATAATTTTTAAACAATTTATGTAGAGAAATAATATTTTTGATCGAGGTAAGGATGTATCATAAAGTATCTTATTTTCAAGCTTCCCATAACTTGTCAACCAAAACAATTTTTAATTTGATGGAATATTTCTAAATCCATAAAAAAAAAATTTCCCCTGAAATTAATCTTCCAAGAAGTGATACAATAAAATTGATTGATTGATTAATATTTAGAAGACAAGAGGGTCTGTCTGCAGTATAAATCTGTGGTTGGAAGTCACTAGTCAGTTAAACCAGGAACAGTTCTCAGCGAACAAAAATATCCGTGTTTCTAAAGCTTGACTTGTCCCTAAAACAAACAAAAAATGTCACAAATAAAGATCATTTAGATAGTTCAGTTTTTAGTGCAACAAACCTCCCAGATAAAATGTATATTTTATATCTATCTAAACCTGGAAACATGCGGTTAAATTCGTAGCAATGTGCAAAATCATCAGAAACCTGATAACGGAATAAAAACCACCCTAATTCCCTCAAAGATAACGGTCATTTAGAAGATTTTGTTTTAAGAAAATAATAAAATTGTCAATAATTATTACAACATTCGTTAATTTGAAGTTTAAGAGATTATAATTTGAAGTTTAAGAGATTATAATTTGAAGTTTAAGAGATTATAATTTGTAGTTTAAGAGATTAATCAAACAAACAAAAGAAAATAAAAAAAAACTCGGAAATGAGTTTTATGATTCGAAGTTATAACATGGTTATTAGTTAAAATAAAAATTTCCAAATCTAATCTAATGCTGTTATATACCGTCACCAGAAGTTCAGAACATTTACTTCGTATAAATGAACTATTATTATTTTCAACAGACAACCCATCAATCAATAAAGTAGGGGTCGACGCTCCACGCCAAGTGTATATAAAGTGGAAACGGATATCCCAAAAAATCTCATTTTTTCCTAGCTTTATGTTTTGTTTGATTCTTAAAAACTTAAACAACTTTGAAATTTTATTTCTTTTAATTTTTACAAATCGAGTTTCAACTCCCTCGAAACCATTTAATTTTGATGTGGATCCGATCCTGGATCCGCAGTGGAAAAAATGGATCCGGATCTATACTACATCTACAATCAGGACTAATATTACAGGGATGGGTACGTCCAAGTGTTAAATCAACTAGACTTTTTTTTCACAAATAAAATTTTAGACTGATTCTAGTGAGTGAATAATTTTTCATACGTTTTATTATTATCGTGCAAACAAAGCAAACCAAAGCACCCAAAACGGATTTTAGTTATAACACGGAAAAATGAAAAATCAAAAGTGCAAAATCACGTATTTTTCTTTACCGTTAATTATGTCTTCCCCCGGCCAATGGTTTCAAGTTCCCTGTAATTAAACGTATTTCAAATATCTCATAAATATCAAGATTCATAATTGGTCTCATGTTCTTTAAAGGGTCTACACAAATAAAAAAGTACGTCCCCGAACCCACCCCCCTTAAAACCCAATTCGCCTTTTCTAGGATTTTATTTACATCATGTATCACCTTTCCCTTTATTGAAATGCTGCTTCGCTTGCAAATACAAAAAAAAACATTGAAAACAGTGAAGTAAGAAAAATATTAAAGCTAAAAGTGTAAAAAAATAAGAAGTGAAATTTAATTTGATAGAAAATAAAATTACTGGAACACAAAACCCCACACTACAGTTTGTAAAAGCAGGCTTACTTGATGCTATCGTTGTGCGCTTTGTATTCTATAGCTGTCCCCTGGGGTAAGTTGAGTACCCGACGGAATGTATCCCGGATACGGTTCGTTACAGCCGTATCACTAGCTGTTCGGTTCCAAATAGAGATTATATCTTCTTGGAATCTAAAACATTTCTTTGTTTAATCTTTAATCAATAGTGTTTGATCTAAAAAGACTGCCAATTAGAAAATCACATTTAATTAAGTTTTGTAAAGCTATCCCTCCGAACCTGAAATGAAACCTGAAATTGATATTCTAGTTGTTCTCTCTTTAAGTTAATTTGAATAAAAACTTTTTCATCTGAAGGTTTGATAACGTTTACAAATTTGTGAAAACAAGGTTTACTGTGACTTATTAGATTTCCTATGTTTTGGGTTTGGGATTGTTTACTTTTCTTGGAAATAACGTTCCATCGTACAGGGGTGAATATTTTCTTAAAAATACTTTTTTCCACCCACTCTCAGACAAATCATATTTTGTTTCAAGATTTTATTTGCTGAATTTGGGAAAATAAATTAATTTTTGTGTAAAAAGAATTGATAAAGATGAAAAAAATGCCTTTTGATGTCCGATTTTTTCGTTAGAGGAATAATTCTCAAAAAAAATCGCTTTAACACTGAGGCCCGAGTAAAGTAATTAAGACCTGACGGATACAACTGCTCCACAAATCTCCTCTCCGACCATGAACTGTTCTCCAAGCATCGCCAGAACAAGGTTTTCCCAACACCGAGAGCTCAGGCCTTTCCTGAACATAGAAAATATATCAAGGGTCATAATAAAAATGACATCATTAATAAAAATACTCCAAACATTAATAGCAATTAGGCACAAAGATATTGACTTAGACTAAATTAAATTGACTAATAAAGTAAGATTAATTTTATTTATGTTGCTTAAAAATAGGTCAACCATATCAACAATATTATATATACACACTTTTCCTAACAGATCAATGATCATATCAACAGATCTAACAAAAATATTAAACCAACAACTACTTAAGTCAAGATAAAAAACTACCCAATGCGGTACGGCGAATGTCACCACAATTTAATTTAAGAAATGCTCGTGGCAGATCCCCAATGTGGAATACCCAGACCGCCATCGGTCCAAAACCCATTCGATCCGGCACCCTGATATACGCGACTAAGTCTAACAATAATAGCTTAAGCATATTTACCTAAGTCTAACAATCCACTTTCCCCCGCATTTATTAGCATCATCCTCCCACATTGGTTTTATACCACTTTTGAACAGATGGAAGTCTGAGTGAGAAGAAAGTTCTCCAGGTCTCACTAGATGACTGTATATACGCCAATACTGTTCTACAGATCCGAACCTAAATCAATCAATCAATTCAACCAGTCAATAATCAATCAACCAACCAACCAATTAACCAATCATCAGTCAATCAACCAACCAACCAACCAACCAACCAACCAACCAACCAACCAACCAACCAACCAACCAATCAACAAATCTACCAATTGGAGACTCATTTGATTTTCTTCAAACAAATAAATCTGCCACATTTTATCAGATTAAAATATTCTATTTGATCAAATATGAAATTGATGCATTTATAATTCAACATGAATTACATTTTTTTGTTTGTTTATTTTTTTTATTGACTTTATAATTATATTCCCTCTTCTCTGTTGACAAATATTACCTTCCGATAAGTTTTAAATTTAGATGGAAATTAAGGGACTGTTTCCCTGATCCTCTTCTACTGTACCACAAGCAGTATTGAGATTGTAGCTTGTGTTCCCCTTCAGGTACATCTACAGGGGTGAAGCACTAAACACAGAGTAAACAATTAAGATACAATGATGATATGATCTATAAAAAGTTTATCATTACACCGGAACCCCTCAGTAACCTCCCCTCCCTCCCTTACAACAAATTAGTCCCCAATAATGTTGTCATCTTCTAGGAAAATAAATGATTTTGATCGGATGTTTAAAAATATTGTGGGATAAGTAAGGAATAAGATTCATGAAGTATCATTTTTATAACATCAATTCCAATAGGACCGATATTAATCTTCAAGAACTACTCTAATTCCACTTTATTCATCTTTCGGTAATTTCCTAGAGAACGATTTTTGGACCCCCCTCCCCCCTCCTATCAATTTTGTACATGGGTCTGACAAGAAGTGTCTTAACTTAACCTAACCCGTGGCCGCAGCGCTCGGCCCCCTAGCCTGTCCTAGCCGCAGCGCTCGGCCCAGAAAGTGTCTTAACTAACCTAACGGCCGTGGCCGCAGCGCTCGGCCCTTTAGCCCATCCTAGCCGCAGCGCTCGGCCCAGAAAGTGTCTGAACCTAACCTAACCCTAAATAACAAAAAAAAATAATAATAAATTTGCTGAAAAATAAATGTCATGTACAAAATTGATAGGAGGGGGGAGGGGGGTGGGTCCAAAAATCGTTCACTAGGACAGACCCCATCTTTCTTCGGAAAGGATATTACTTGCTTTTTTAATTAAATAAAAAGGTATGATATTTGACTGAGGACTATAAACCTGATTGTCAATCTCCAGATTGTTGTTTGGAGTTTCCTCCTCGCTGTCATCACTACACAAGCTAAAATATTCAAGAAAATGTAAACTATAACAGGGTTTAAAATTGTGTTAATTAATTTAGTTATCATCATTGGTATCCCATAAATGTTTGAGAAATACAATTTATGACTTCAAAAAAGTTAATTAAGAATTAGGAATATACTTATACAAGCCCAATAAGTACGCGATTTAGAGTTACAAAAAAACAAAGAGAAATATTCTTTTATTTATCTTTATTGGGAGATGTTAACAATTTTAAAAATGAATTAAAGCTTCTTATTAATATACTTACTGGTAGTATTTGTTGGAAGATATACTGGACATTTTATCAATAATTGGCGCAATCTTTACTGATTATTTAAACTGGTTTTAAATTCTCAATAATCCGGCAATAATTCTGAAATACAATACATTTGATATATATTTTGTAACAAGTGTTCCCAAACACATCTTCATAAACAGAGCGCATGTTTGAGACACCTCTCAGTGACAAGGTGCATCTAAATGCCTGCCAGTGGGACCAAGCTAATAAAACTGCTTCAATTACTGGTGTTTCGTCTGATTGAATTCACTCTAGATGATCTGGGACTAATCTGTAGTTTTCTTTAACCGTAGATACTCTTACTAGATCCTTGATCCTGTTCCAATCCTGCAGGATCCTCGGGGATCATTCTAAAAAAAACATGAATTCTTCAAAACATTTTCAAAAATATCAAATCTTAAAAAAATATATTTAAATGTAAAAAAAATTACTTAGGAAAATCTATTCAAAACAGCATTATATTTGCAGTTAATCTTTTTCAGAATTTCAAACAAATTGTTCCAAGAATTTATGTTCAGTTGCCTGGGGTCTACTGGTCTAAATTGTGTACTTCCAAAATGGTTCATCATGATACCTAAACAGGTTTAAAACAATCAATCTGGATTTTAAACCAAATCCATTCTGCATAAAGTATAACATAACTAGTTTAGAGGAAATGAAAACATTCAAGTTTTAAGTATAATTTAAACATTATAAAGCGGATCCGGATCTGCATTAAAAAAAATATATTAGACCAGAACTATATATAGACTCGAGAAATTTGACATTCTGGGTCATAATTTATAATTATTTATCCGAACGTGTAATAGAGTTTAAATAAAAAAACAAGATTTTGAAACAAGTTGATAAAATTAAATAATAAAAAAATAAAAAATATATGAAGAAAGTTGAAGGCTGGGTAAGATATCCCTCCTTCAATTTGCTTACCTAATCCTTCAATAAGTCCTAACAGAACTCCACCGACAACAGCACTCCCTAACATCTGTTTAGGTCCGTGTCTGGCCACCATTACCGCCCCCGCAGCTGCACCAGACATTATAGAGTTCCAAGGATCCTCTTTACCACGAATATGAGCAAAAGTACAATCAAAACTTGAAAAGCAGATTCCCCAAGCAGCAAACTGTCCACCTAGTATTGGAGCTCTTTCCTTGACTCGGGCAATACCCGCCAGTGTACGCCGCTGAAATCCGGTAGGGGCATTTCTGGCGCCACTAATCATTTGAAACAAACTACCGCCGATTAATCCCATGGAGAAAGCGCCCCCGCAGTCGTCAATAATCCTCCAAGGACAAGGTTCTCTTGCATACTCATCCATTGTATCTGCAAAAATAATAAAATAATGTTTCTTCTTAGATCACAACCTTTCGGGAACACTGTACGCTAGTTTTGCGTAGAGATCTTGTCTTGTTGCGTCACGCGTATTTTACTCGTTATCCATCTCTATTCTCTGCTGTGTAAGATGAACTACGTCACGCATCGCGTCAGGATTCAATAACTCTTTTATACTGTATTTTGTACTTGCCTAAAACAATAACTATTATAAGAAAAAATGGCACTCAACAAATAATAATCCAGGCGTAAATTTGTCGTAAAATTTTCAGGCATTGACAAAAATCATTCAATAAAGTAGAAGATCAAAAATAAAAGGGAAAACTTTTAAGAAAAAAATCCAATGAAAGGAAGAAAGTGCGTTTGAAACAATGTTGGAATTTACAGAATCAGAAAATCGGGGGGGAAAAATAATGATAAAACTGAAACTTAAAAATGACTTCAAAATTATAGCTTATCTTCCTTCAAAATGTTAAATTTCCGATTAAATCGATTAATCGATAGAACATTTAACTACCGCCATATCGGCGTACATTTGAATATCCGAGCTGGGCCAACCTTTGCAGTCTTACATTGGACTGTACCGCCAATTTACAATTACTAAAGGGGCAGAGGAGTGTGAACTCACGTCCCACTGATGTAATTTGAATATCCGAGCTGGGCCAACCTTTGCAGTCCTACTTCGGACTGTACCGCCAATTTACAATTACTAAAGGGGCAGAGGAGTGTGAACTCACGTCCCACTAATGTACATTTGAATATCCGAGCTGGGCCAACCTTTGCAGTCCTACTTTGGACTGTACCGCCAATTTAAAATTAGTAAAGCGGCAAAGAAGTTTAAACTAAAATAGAAAGTTCATTCAAAGAAAATTCCGTCTTACCTCCCAGGCATAGATAATACTAGTATCCCAGAGTAGAGTAGAGTTCTCAGCTAAACAGAGGACCACGTTACGTAACCTTAATTCAATAGAATATAAATAATAATTTACGAGACTTTTATTCTGCTCTAACTTCAGGATAAATGAAATAAATTCCATGAACAAAATTGACATTGTAAGAATCTAAACGTCAATTGCATCCTAAAATTGACATCATTAAAGAATGTTCCCCAAAATTGACTAATAGTCAAATGAGCTCGAAAATATGGCAAACACTAAGATACTAATAAAATGCACACATTTTGATGGACAAAACTAAACCAAAATTTTTTTTAATTTTTTAAAGAACCTTGAAACCAACCTTGCAATTATTTCTCTCTCTGTCTCCGGAACAATTTCCAGATTTTGACTGAACCCTCCGGCTTCATCTTCTCCTCTAATATTATTTAATTAATAAAAAGTTTCGGCTGTGGTTGTATCTCTCCATTATGTGTTTTGGATTTAACCTCTTTTTCTTTATCTTTTAATACAATTTATAGAAATTCTTTAGGACAGACTACCATCTAGTGGGATGTCACAAATAAACACTTCTATACAACAACACAGCTTTTATTATACGATTCAACCGATTCTAAGCAAACTGAGGTCATTTAATTTTCCCGTTTTAATGTTAATAAAAAGAGACCGGAAATATCAGATGTAAGAACTTGACCATTCCCCCCCCCCACGAAAAAAAAAAACTCAAAAGTGAAACAAATGTTAAGTAATCTCCTTACAGCACAATTTAGGTTTAAAAGGTAAAATTCCACAAGAAGTCTACTGTCTATAAAGTTGGAGAAAAAAAAAACTAACCTTGTTGGATATATCCAGACAAACCCGTTATTTCCAAGAATAATGCTTGCACCACAAGGAAGCTGATGGAAGTGAGTTTTCCGTCGTTTAATTAAACTAGGACTAACCTTAACAATTGCCATCATTATTTAGTTACTAAGCGAGGCACTTTTTTGTAATATAAATGCGGAAAAATAAGATCATTTTTTTTTTACATCGGTATAGATTCGAAAATAGATTTTTATAATAATAATGTTAACAATAACGACAAGATCTTCAAGGGAATAAAATAAAAATAATTAATATGTTTGAAAGTTGTTAAGTCGGCAAAATGTAAAGATAAATATATTATTTTTATATGATGTATTGAACTTTTGAAATTCTTGAATCAGATGTCTACTCCCTACTCCTTCAGTACCTTGAGTAAACAGCCCTGACCCAGCTTGCCATACTTGAGACTCCTGGTGTGAAGAGAGAGACTACCGTCATGATAAATATTCTGAACCTCCGCAGATATTAGATCCCCCTCCTGGAGATACTTTCTCATACTCAACTCATCTTCAGCTCCTCTACAATAATTCGTTTGTTTAACTATTTACTTATCCAAAAAACTCATTTTAGTCGCTAAATAATCAAATGTCTCAAAATGTAGAATAATTAAAAGTTTTTATGATTAAAAATTCTGCATAAAAAGAAACTAACATTGTGTAAAAAAAATTGACTAATTCGATCCCCTCATAGAAGAAAAATAACGTTTATATAATGTCTTGATTTTATGGGAATTTATGTAAAATATAAATTATATTTGACATTTCATTAACTAATAAAAAGTAAAACGTGTACTTTTTAATCTAGGAAATAGTTTGGGTGAATAGAGAAAACTATTAATCTGAACCCACCTTCTTCTGAGTTCTCCGCCTGGTAGATTAACACTGGATAAAGCTAGGATACTATCAAGCCTGGAGTTCGTTTCCACTCTCCATCTCTTCTGTTGAACCTCGACAATCCTTCCAACAACCACATCTCCGATTTCCCCGTTGTATCTTAACAATTTTGTTTCTTCAGAGCTGGGAACTTTAGAATGGTGGATATCGGGATTAATGCTTGATCCACTCTTTTTCTTAATCTCCAAGTTAAATTGTGATTGTTCTCTTCTTGTTTTTAATCTCCAGATTTATTAACCGATCGGGATTAAGGATATCCCATTCTAAAGTTTTCAGCTCAGATTGGAGATATACTTAAATGATAACAAAATCATCTTCTATAAATTTTAAGGTGCTTTTCACGACCCTTCCTGACCCCTTGGCGTTAAAAACCTTTTATGCGCCATAAAGCCATAAAGATTACCAAACAGTGTGTATTTCTTCTGTATCTTGGTTTTTAAGCGAGTTACATACTGTGCCTATGTTGGCTGTTTTTCATTAGGTTAATCTAAGCAAATTAACAGAATTTAGACATCTTCCGGATTTAATGGTCATATTTCATTTTCACTTTCATACTTAAGCTTAAAACACCAAAATGTGCGGGTTTTAATGTCCAAAAATAATTGTTTTTGAGGGAAACCCTAGTTTACCAATACCTGGTTTTCAATGGAGTAACTGAGATAAGTTTGTTTACCCTCTCCACTACTCCAGCAACACTAGCATACAGGATATCATCGGTCATATAGGTTCCATGCCCTCGCATGAAACCACTGTCACGGGTAATAACATCGCCTTAATATATATAAAACTTACTACGTCACCATTGATATTTGACTAACTCATGGAAGAATCTTAGATTTGAACTTGTAGGTAGTAAACTCGTATTAGAGATTCAAGCAAGCAAATAATTTTATAAATTAATATTATTTATTAATATTTCCTAATTTTGTTTAATTACATATTACGGACCAGACAACGTCGTAAAACTAAAATGTTATCCATGACAGAAACAATCTTAAGCAATAATAATAGTCTTAAAACATTCTTTAAAAAGGGAATATTTGCAATTATCCTGTTTACATAACCTAATCTGAAGTGGATTTCTTTTTCCATCTTACTGTCCTTTTTGATCTTTTTGATTTGTTTATTTTCTTTTTTTTTAACATTATTATCGATTTTTATGGTTATTATATCGTTAGAACTTACGAAGGTCAATCCAGACCGAAATGTTTTTAATAAAATGTGGAACTAACATCTACTTTATTTACTCTGAGGTTTGGTCCATCGTTATCACCGAATTATAAATAAAATGTTAATATTATTAAAAGTATGTTAAGCTTGTATTTGTATGAAATTATGAACCTGGTGTGACAAGGTAGCTTGGCTCAGGTTCATCCGCAGCTTTAGCGACCTGCTTCTCAACAGCCAAGGATATGTCAACAAATGACATTTTGAAGATTGTATTTAACAGAACAAGCTACATTTGCATTTAAAAAACAAACAACGGTAAACTGCAGTCTTAGATATCTGAAATAGATTTGATACGTTTGAATAGTTTCATCATAATATCAGGTTACGTTGATTTTGATTCAAAATAGATTATAATTACCTGGAATAACTTAATGCGAAAAAGAACAGTAGGAGAACGGGGAAAAAACTCAGACAATAAATAAAATACAATGTTATAATGTATACCGGTATATTCCTAGTATACGATTTTTGGACCCCCCCCGTGCCCCCCCCCCCTCCTATCAATTTTGTACATGGGTCTGACAAGAAGTTTCTTAACTTAACCTAACCCGTGGCCGCAGCGCTCGGCCCCCTAGCCCATCCTAGCCGCAGCGCTCGGCCCAGAAAGTGTGGCCGCAGCGCTCGGCCTTTCCATAACCTAACCTAACCCTAAATAACCAAAAAATAAATAATAATAACCTAACCCGTGGCCGCAGCGCTCGGCCCCCTAGCCCATCCTAGCCGCAGCGCTCGGCCCAGAAAGTGTGGCCGCAGCGCTCGGCCTTTCCATAACCTAACCTAACCCTAAATAACAAAAAAATAAATAATAATAAATTTGCTGAAAAATAAATGGTCATGTACAAAATTGATAGGAGGGGGGGGGGGGGTCCAAAAATCGTATACTAGGACAGACCCTGTATACCAATGTTAAAGTGGTATAATTGTAATAAAAACTTAAAAGTTTTAAGAATTACTAATCAGCTGAAGTAAATATTTGTCTTAGAATATAGTGCCATAGCTCAATGTACGTTCACGAGATGATTAACATATGGATACTTTAATTGTAATATTTTCTGTCACATACAATATTCATACAATTATAACCCGTGTGGGTAGAATCGATAATGAAGCTCAATTATTTTCATATTAATTTAGGTTGAATTTTAATAAAATGGCTTATTTAAATTACGACACTTGATTACGACACACGTTATTTTTGTCTAGGTTCTGCGCTACAGCAGCTCTAAGCGCAAATGCCACGTACAAATTTTTTCCTCCAATAAATATAAATCGAAGACGACGGTTTTGTAAAAAAAAACAATTCTATTATTACATTTTTATTTTTATTTTGTGTTTCTTGAAAATTATGATAGTTTGTAAGATTTACTTATAAAAGAAGTTTTCACAGCTAAAATTTCAGATTTTCGGTATTTATGCTAGTTGACAATTACCTTAAATGTTCTCAATAACCCCAATTTGTACTCCGCCGGAGAGATCACTGATCAGTGAACACTGATCAGTGGACAGTGATCTACCTTGCTAGCTCCCTCAATCAGTCAAAGCAGTAAAGGTAGAGAAACCACGGTAAACACAAACCACCTCGGCCCGGTTGGCAACAGGCTGAATGAGTAATACTTTGATACTAAAAGCCATTCAATCCATACCTGTGTGATGAAATAATTGTGATTAAAGTATCAAATGTCAGTTTAGTCATGGTTTAAAAATCAATCTGTGAAATTATCTCAAATTTTCTGTTCTTTAAAGGAAGTGTTGGTGAAAAATGAAAGAGGTTATGCTTACGGCGAAAAATAATCGCTTTTGATCGTTACTAATCTTACTTCAATTTAGTGAGTTTATAAGAAGAAAATTGTTAAAAAACGACTCATACCGAAGAACGTAACTTCTATGATCTTTTTTTTAGCCTCCATACAAATTCAGAAAGTTGTAACACACAACGCGGATCGTAAAAAATAATTTATTTTCAATCTCAAATTATTAAGATATTAGTACCCAATATGCATTGATAATTTTTCGACGCATTTGTACATGGTTGATATTTCATAATATTTCTTTAAAAATATTATTTAGCTTACAACTTGTTTTCACGGCTGGCGCTGGATTTTCGAACATTCCTGGAAAATATGAAAATGTTCATTATCATAGTTCCTTGAAACAGGAAAAAATGTTTTCAAAAGTAACTCGATCAGTTCATAAAAAAATATGTATGAAAAATTACCGATGATTATAGGTTGTAATATCTGAATGCTTTATTTGGAATTAAATTGATTTTTTTACAATCCGAGTTGTATGTTGCATCTTTTTGAATTTGTAGGGACGCTACAAATTCTTTGGTATGAATTTTAACAATAGACGCAACAGATAGAGATAAGATTAGTGTGCGATCAAAAGCGATTATTTTTCGCAGTAAGCATTCTTATACCTCCTTTCATTTTTCGCAAACACTTCCTTTAATCAGGAACAACATCATACCATGGCTCCACATAATCAAGTACGAACTATGAGAACCTCCGCAATGGAATCTATATTCGAACTCGTCCTTCAGAATTTCCTAAAGATCTCAGTTGAAAATTCAGGTATTAGTATTATCTTGCTATCAATGTCCATAACTTAACTTTAAATTCTAAGTTGAGAAGGTTGACTTCTTCCGGGGAAAATGTAATTTCCAGTCAAAGCTGGATTCCCAATCTAGTCTTCTTTCCTTTATCTTCTGATACCTAATGCTTCATTCCTTTTTATTTATATATTCTTAAAAGTGACCTCATTTCCCCATGATGCTTCATCAATAATCCTTTATACTCGATACTTTATCTTTTTATATCTTATCCTTCTTCTTCATAAACTAAATCCCTTTTTAACTCTTTGAACCCTTTGTAATTTCATTTTTATTTTCTATAATTGATCCTTTTTCGGTAATTTCCTAGAGAACGATTTTTGGACCCCCCCCCCCCCCCCCTCCTATCAATTTTGTACATTTGTAAGTATAATTGATTATGTGCAGGCCGCAGCGCCCGTCCCCCTAGCCTGTCCTAGCCGCGGCGCTCGGCCCCCTAACCTGTCCTAGCCGCAGCGCTCGGCCCCCTAGTCCATCCTAGCCGCAGCGCTCCGCCCAGATATTGTCTTAACCTAACCTAACCCTCAATAATATAAAGTAAATATACAAAATTGATAGGAAGGGGGGGGGGGTCCAAAAATCGTTCTCTAGGACAGACCCGCTTTTTTCTTACAACATTTCAAACCTACATCATCAAAATATTTTACTTGATCCTTGATCCTATTTATCTTAAACCTTTTATCTTATTCCAGTCCACTCCACTAACCGTTCTAATTTCATGCTCTTGGTGTTATGACTTATTGCTCCGTTTTAAATATTTTTTTTTTTTTTAAGTCAGACCCCATCTTGAAAATTACCAATGATGGTAATAGAATGTTTTTAGTAAAGTTTGGGAAGAGTTTATACGAACTAATAGTGTTGAATCCGCCTGGTTATGAAGAATTTCTTCTTATTATCTTCGAAAAACTTGAACAGATCTTTTCAAAAACTCCAGCTCAACCAGTTCTCAGATCTAAGGTAAAAGTTTAATTGATACTTTTAGTGAATTTATAAAATAATTTTTTTTTTCAATTTTGTGAAGATTGTAATGGAGAAAGAAGATAGGAGTAGATTGTTCATAATGGAATTGAATCTTTGCTTCAAACTCTGATTTTCTAGCCCCTTTATCTTTGCAACCCAATGATGTAGACCGTAGATTTTTCTAAGTATAAATTCTAGCAGATCAAATACTAAAAGTGTTTAGTAATAAATGTTTACACCATCAGGTTGCAAAGATAAATGGAATAGAAAATTTGAGTGTGTGGGATATACTCAATTCCTACTCCAATGAAGTTTGGATGTTTACATTTTTAAATATTTTTTTTAAATAACTGTTTTTGTTCAAGGTGAGAAATATTCTCCCCTGTCTTCTTGGACCTAATCTTAAAACTTTGAATTTATCAACTATCAGCGCGGCATTCGACAAGAAAGTAACTAGTGAGGTCTACAACATCATGGACAGTGTGTGCAACAACCTGGAGAGTTTAACTCTAGGCCAATCCTTTATCTTCACACCTGAAATCATCAGCAACATGAACACAAAGCTTGAGAAGTTTAACAAGGAATCAAAACTGTTTATAAAAAATATTTATTTTTGGTTTTTTTGGGGGGGTTTGTATATTTTCTTTTTACAATTAGACACACGGTACATCCCTTTTTAACAAAAAGTTTCAAAAAACTTTAGGAAAAAAAGTTTTCAAGAAAACCTTGTAGGGACCTTGTTTTAGTGCCTACAGTGGTGGACGTTTATAATCAATACAATGAATACGACTTTTGTATTCAATATTTCATAGTTAACAAGCTTTTTTCGAATTACAAGTTTACAAGTAAAAAAAAGAGAATCTGTTATTATATAACTTTACGTTGTTTCCATGATTATGTGTACCCAATACCCATGCTGTTAGAAAGCTTGTTAGAAAATAAAATTAAAATCTAAGTCGTCTTCATTGTATTGATATATACGACGAGGACTGCATTACTGTTGAGAATGAGTTTAAGCTTTTTATTCCTGGAATATTGAGAAAACTAGACTGGGTGATAAAATTCTTGTCAAGTTTTCTCAAAATTAAAATATCAACAGTTATATTTGGTATAGTTGGTGAATCTAAACCTTTTATACATCGCTAGCTCTGATATGCTGGTCAACCTGGGGACTAGTTGCCCACACCTTAAACAACTCAAGTATAATAACCTTTTATAAATAATTATAATAATAACTTTTTTTAAATATCATTAGAATATCAACAACCATATAATTTTAAATTATAAACTTGAAGAGATTTTACATTTAGAAATTAATAAATATTAATGTTATAATGTTTAGTGTTAAAGGGTCCTCTAAAGTATGTGATCTTGCAGTCCCACACATCATAGGGTGTAAAAACCTCATGGTTCTGGATATACAGGTTTATTTCAATAATGTATAATGTATAAGTATTGTATGATAAGCTAGAATGATTTTTTTTGCAAAAAAACAAAGCAAAGATTTTTCATTTTTTGATGTCTTTGTTTTAAAAAAAAATTATCAGCGACGACCACTTTTTTATCATTAGTAGATACTTAAGCATTAAAAAACACATTTTTATTAATTCTTAGGTTTGATTACACTCCTCTATATATATTATACATCTAACATAAAAATTGAGCATGCAATATGTAAAACTGGTAACCCTGAAAAGTTTAGAAACTCATCAGTTTAAAGAAGTAAAAAGTAAACTGAAGTATTTTTTCGACAGTCTTTTAGTTCTTTCTGGAATGGAAAACCTTCCTTTCTCTAAAGGCTTTAATTTTCATTTTTTTATAAGGCATGCAAATAATTGTATACTTTTCGGTTGAATGAAAAAAAAGCAACTTCTAACATTAATGCCATTCTTACGTTGACAATAAATAAAAAACATATTACCAGGGAACCCAGCTCACTGGTGAAGGTAGACTTGAGTTAGCGGAGAAATGTGAAAACATCCAGACCATTGATCATTGTCCATACAACTGTGATACAGGCAGGATAAACTTATTAGTTAAGAATTTATTTTGGTTTTTTAAGATAACTGTTGGACAATCTTAAGTTTTTTCGGGTCATTTTTTAAACGTGCAAACTTTATGGGGGACATGGCTATAAATTTTAACATATCTTAAAATTGTATCCTCTAAAAGTTTTATTTCATTACACCATCGTCAATAGTGCAATGTTTTCTTTTTCTTTTATCATTTGCCAGAATAGAATTTTTATCTAAAGTAAGAAAGCTTTTCGATTTTAGTATTTAAAAAAATGTAAATTCTCTTAAAAGCCAAAACTATAAAGTTTTTATAAAAATAAGGGTGAAACTTTTAAACCCTCTTTGCACCAGCAAAAATTTATGTAGTAGCAAATTGGAAGCGACATTTAAAAAGAAAAGAAAGAAAAAACTCGTTCTGAAATAAAAGATTTCAAAACATTTTAAAAAACTGGTATCGAAAGGGATGGTCGATTATTTTAGTTTTTTCAAAGCATGTTGATATGAGTCTTGAACCACTGAATACCGTCCATTTGTCAGTTTTTCAATATTCAAAAAATTGTTTTATTTATGGCCAAAAAATTTTGTTTTTTTGATGTTCTTTCCAAAAAAACGTTTGTTTACGGCTTATAATTTGCTTAATTTTCAAGGGATATTTACTAATTCAACGTTTCTGAATTTAGTGTTTTGATACCTATTTTGATTTATTTGGTGAAATTTTTTTTGCTCAATTGTTTCACCTTTAGTGAAAATGATTTAAAAACCTGGTTTTTATTAGATTTCCGAATCTTCAAATCCCGCGGAGAAATGTTTGATTTGATAAAAAGAGCCTACAATGGTGAGGAGCCTGATATAGCAGTTCTACAGAGGGAGGCAAGGAAGGGATACAGGTAAACTTCATTCTATACTGATATAGGAGTTCTACAGAGGGAGGCCAGGAAGGGGTACAGGTAAACTTCATTCTATACTGATATAGGAGTTCTACAGAGGGAGGCAAGGAAGGGGTACAGGTAAACTACACAATCTACCAATATAGCAGTTCTACAGAGGGAGGCCAGGAAGGGACACAGGTAAACTACACAATCTACTGATATAGCAGTTCTACAGAGGGAGGCCAGGAAGGGACACAGGTAAACTACACAATATACTGATATAGGAGTTCTATAGAGGGAGGCAAGGAAGGGGTACAGGTAACTTCACAGTCTACTGATATAGGAGTTCTACAGAGGGAGGCAAGGTAGGGAAAATACAGGTAAACTACACAATATACTAATATAGCAGTTCTACAGAGGGAGGCCAGGAAGGGATACAGGTAAACTACACAGTCTACTGATATAGGAGATCTACAGAGGGAAGCCAGGAAGGGGTACAGGTAAACTTCACAGTCTACTGATATAGCAGTTCTACAGAGGGAGGCCAGGAAGGGGTACAGGTAAACTACATTCTTTACTGATATAGGAGTTATACAGAGGGAGGCCAGGAAGGGGTACAGGTAAACTACACAATCTACTGGTGACTTAAAGTTATCCTGCGGTCAAATTCTGATAACTTATCACTTCATAAATCTGATGTTTGTCTAAATTAAAGAATTTCTGGTTATTTTATCAATACTCTGATACAATAAATCTGATGTTTGTTCAGATTAAAGAACTTCTGGTTATACAATCCTAAATCTGATATTTGTTTAGACTGAAGAACTTCTGGTTATCAATTCCTTAAATTAAATTTAATATTTGTTTAGATCAAAGAACTTCTTGTTTCCAATCCTAAATCTGATATTTGTTTAGATTAAAGAACTTCTGGTTATCCAATCCTAAGTCTGATCTTTGTTTAGATTAAAGAACTTCTGGTTATCCAATCCTAAATCTGATCTTTGTTTAGATTAAAGAACTTCTGGTTATCCAATCCTAAATCTGATCTTTGTTTAGATTAAAGAACTTCTGGTTATCCAATCCTAAATCTGATCTTTGTTTAGATTAAAGAACTTCTGGTTATCCAATCCTAAATCTGATCTTTGTTTAGATTAAAGAACTTCTGGTTATCCAATCCTAAATCTGATCTTTGTTTAGATTAAAGAACTTCTGGTTATCCAATCCTAAATCTGATGAGCTGGGATGTTCTGCCATGTTTCCTTATTTAAAAATACTCAGGAATATTGTTGTAAAATAAACTGAAAACAAAATCAAAAGTATGAGAAGGATCCAGAAACGTTTTATATTATGGTATTTTGCATAAAGGTAAATGAACAAAATCAGGTTTAAAAAATGTAAATATAAAAAAATTAGAGTAGACAGCATGAGCAAGTAATCAGTTCTTTTACTTTTTTTACTTGAAACTGAAATAGTCTTTAAATTGATTACAAACAATGTTACTGAATAGACTTGATTTTGTGTTTCAAGATCTAGGATTCACGCCAGGAAAATAGAAAACTTCAAAATAAGAACTTTTAATAAAGTTTAGTTTTCCGAGTATATCGCATGGAAGAATATTTAGATTATTTTTCATTCCGAAAATAAAAAAATAAAACCGATTAAGCTTTTTAAGTGAAAAACTTCTTAAACAAAACTTTTCTTATTAAGTTAAGTTTTCTATTTTGTCAGATCCGTCCTCCTTGAGTCAAATAAAAACTCTAAGAACTCTTGATCTCAACTTCTACGATAATGCTCGAAATGATCTCTTCAGGTATAAACAGTAGTGTATGAGATCCAATCGCTAAAAATATGCAAAATTAGAAAATCTGCCTTTGTAGCATTAACTCAATTCTTGCTTTGTGCTTTAGAAATTGTTTTAATCGTTCTACGCTAACCCTATAGCAATGGGATTTAGTAAACACCGAAATTGAATTGTTAATGTAAATACACTACCCCTATAGCAATGGGATTTAGTAAACACTGAGATTGATTGAATAATGTAAATATATAAATCAATACTATCATTAGCATATTTACCTTGACTCTTTAAGCATGCTTATTGGACCGTTTAAAGATCTAAAAAGGAACTGAAATTTGGCCGCAAACATCAGGTTGGAAAAATATAGGGATTAGAGAATTTGAGTCTGTTGCACAATTTCAGTTTCTTTGTATTTCTGTGTTTTCAGGAAGATAATGGAAAGCTGCGGAGGAAGGTTGACTAAGCTGATGTATAATGTATTCGCTGAATACAGGTCAAAAATAGTATAAATCTATTAAGTTATTAACTAGACAACTGGAGGTCAAATTTATGCGACATTACCTGAAAGACTTTGTGATCTCGTAGCTTCTCTAGTTTTGATTTTTTGAGTCTTTGATTTCTTTGAATTATTTACAGTGTGTCCCACATCATATTGGATTGTATTCACGCGTACGAGATAAAAATTTATTCGGTATCATTACATATTAGAAATTCACAAACATATTAATGGTTCTTTTCAATAACTTTTTAATAAAAGGAGTTATGATTAAAAATATTTAACATTTTAATCTTAAGTGCAATTTACTTCAGTTTGTGGTGACACAACATCTTTGATTGAAAAATGCTTTTAAAATTTTTGTTTTAATCTCTAATAATGATATAAACGTGCTTTCTTAAATTCTAAAAATTATTTAGCTCAATAGTTGAATGTCACAACATTATTGCGACGATGTGTCCGAACCTGGAGTACCTGAGGTTTGAGGGCGACTACTCCACCAGTACTGATGAGGACCTGGAGCCCCAGTATCTGGATATACCTCCGGAATCTCTAGGATTTCTTACTCAGGTTGGACACATTCTTTTGTTAGCTTATTTAAAAAAATGTCCTAGCTAATCTGATCTATGTATAAAAAGTACAATAATCTCTGTTTGTTTGTTCGTTTGTATGTCTGATTATAACTAATAAACCCTTTCACCAATTTGTCTAAAATGTTGATTGGGGGAACTAGTCAGAACCACGGGAATTATCTTGGTTTAAAAGTTCTTAGTCGAGTAGGATTATTTTTGCAGGAAGACTTAGTTCCCAGGCAAAGCTGGGTTCCCAAGCTAACTAAAAATAAGACCTGAAGCAGAAGTTGTAAACCAAGATCTCTAGTTATTTTAAGACGAAAAGTATGTGGTTGAACTGGATACGGATAGTTAAACTAGATCTTAGTCAAATAGGGATTGTCAATGTAACATTAAAAGGAACCCCTGTCTGGTTGACTTTGATATTGATTATTAAGGTCAATTTTATTATATCTGCGGCTTCAAGCGATCAATATTTAGCAAGAAAACATACAAAAAATACATTTATTAAAAATTGTTCATCGATATTGCAATCTTTGAATTGATGATTGTAAAAATGTTGCTGAAAATTTCTTTCTCAAAAAATTGCAACTCAATATTTGGGTTACAAGAATTAAAGTAAGATTTATTGCTATTTTAGTTAAAGGAACTTAGCCTCGGAGGTCATTGTACAAACAAGAGGTTGTCCTGGCTTCTGACCTCTGCTCTTAAGATCGAGAAGATTAACCTTGATGGGAACCTAGAACAGCTGGGTAATACTGCCTGGTCTAATCTGTTAGCTGACAACCCTTTAAAGGTAAGTGTACAGTGTACACTGTACATATATTTTTGGCGTGGTTCCTAGCTTGGCGGAGGGGGGGATAGATAAAACTCCTAAGAATGCGCGAATACCGGATAATATTTCTTTAATTCTCTCTCTCTATGACAGCTTGCCATGACAGCTTGTTTCTATAGATAGTACAGGTTAAGGATGGTTATTATGAATCTGATACAATAAGGTTGATTTTAATTTGATACGAATGTTGTTCGATTTTTGATACTAATAACATTCGTATCCATCCTTTTCAACATCCATCCTTAACCCGTACTATCTATAGAAACAAGCTGTCATGGCAAGCTGTCATAGAGAGAGAGAATTAAAGAAATATTATCCGGTATTCGCGCATTCTTAGGAGTTTTATCTATCCCCCCCTCCGCCAAGCTAGGAACCACGCCTATATTTTTCTTGTCAAACTGAGTGGACTTTTTGTGTGTAACCTAGTTTATTTTAGCCGTAGATTGTACTCTAATTTTGTACATTAACAAAAATGTTATTTCTAGATCTAATAAGCTTTTTAATAAAACAGTGCAGAAATTAAAATAAATTTAAAACCAGTTATTGATTTTTTTTAGAAATACTCTAAATCTTTTGGAGAAAATCCGAGAATCAATGAAACTTCATACTATACACTATACAGCTAATTCACCATTATGGCATAATTAATACTTTATAGCACGTCTATAATATAATTTACCATGAAGTGGCCATGAGTGATAAAGTACACAATAGTTTCATAAAATAAACTAATATACAGGAGCTGGAGAGTGTTTGGATCAACACTAGTTCTGGTATGGGACTTGACTCCATCAATCTTCTTATCGACAACTGTCCAAAGTAGGATTTTTTCCTTTATTGGCTCTTTCAAGTCAACTTAAAGTATAAGAATTAAGTCTTAGCCATAAACTCAATTTTCTCGAATCCCTTTAGCTTTGCAACCTGATGGTGTAGATCTTTGATATTTCAAACTTACGATTATTTAATCTAGCAGAATTCATAGTTTGAAATTGGGTTGCAAAGTTTTAAGTTTTGAAAAATCAGAGTTTGTGGCAAAGATCATTTCCGTTCACACTGACTTGATCTTTTATGTATATTTTATATTTTTAATAAAAACTCCCTTTTGAAGATATTTTGAATTTTTCATATGCAACTAAATCTCATAGTAGGTAAATAAAAACTAGGTGAGCTACGAGGTCTCAACAAGTATATGCACAAAATATTCTCTTATTAATGTACTCTTTGCATTTTATTGTGGTATTTTCTTTGTTTACATTTAGTTTGTCTGTCTATTTACCATTAGAAAGCAAAGGATATTGTCAATTCTGTATTAAAATATATGCCTACCATTGTATCTTGAATTCAAGGTTGATGATGTTGGGAAGATTAGTAAACTTGACAGATGTTCTAGCAGTCGAGACAAGGTAAAAATCTTCTTTTCTTCAGTTTCCTTCATTCATTCTCCTTAATTCATCTAAGGTTTATCTCCTTAGAAATCATTTTCCCATTGTAATCTTCGTTTACCATTCATTATCATTTCCTTGTCAATTTGTCAGCCAACCTTCACTTTTCTTGGATGTTGCCCCCATTCCGTCCCACTTTATTTATCTCCATTTTCTTACTTTTCATTTACAGATCATTTATATTTTCATTACTATTTTTAACTTATTGTTTTGCTAGTAAAATAATTAAATTTTAAAAATTCTAAACCCGAATATGTTTCAATGAAATTCAGCCTTTGCCTTAAACTCTGATTTTTCAATTCCTTTGTCTTTGCAACCCAATGTCATAGACCATAAATAATTCAAACTATTCTGTTAGATCAAAAAATCTAAGTTTGAAATACCAAAGGTTTACACCATCAGGTTGCAAAGTAGGGATAAGAAAATTTGATTTCAGTTTAAAAATTTTGTAAAGTGTTTGAACAAATTGTTCAAGAATCTATCTTCTAGAAACATGTTTTATCGTGAACTGGTTGAACGAGTCCGAAATGAGAACTTGAACCTGGAGCTGGTCTGGGTCTCACCCAGGAGAGGGTTTGCAGCATGTAGACTTCAGCAGTATCCGTCATCATAGCATTCATCTTAGTCTTACATAATTGAGATGAAAAATTAAACCCAACCTAAACTCGGAAATTGCTCGAGTTACGTCACGTTAAAAGGAAAAAAGAACAAGTGGTAAACAGCTGAAATTGCCTTGGTTTTTATGTTATTTTACATATGAAATTGAAATAGTGAAATAGCTGGAATACAAAATAAATGTATATTTGTATATTGATATAATAATATTATGTACATGATAATATTTTTTTTGACTTATGTCGAGCTAATTGTGCAAAGGTTCACACACATACAGTACACACATAGACACAATACTAATCACAATGTGAGTTAAAAACAATCGTCTCATTCATTAAATGAATTAACTGAATAAATATTAATTATTTGAATTATACAAATGACTTTTAATATGTCCATTAATATATATGAATAACAAGTTTGATATGAAAACAGCCGTTGCTTAAAGTTTGGCATATTTTGAAAGTCGTCTGAGCATGATTTTAAAATTTTAATTTTTAAGCGTCTGAACTACATTTAGAGGATACAAGACATGCAACTACAATGTAAATTAGAAATTTAGAAATTGAAAATTAAAATTAGATACATTTTTGGCTCCTACTGTAGAATATGTATATCAAAAATTGAAAAGTTTAAAATTTTAAAACTTTAAAATAAAAATTTCTACAAAATGTTGACGCACTTTGATTCGACAAAAGCATGAAATTCCACATTTAAATCTTGAGAAAAAAGCTGGTCGCTTTTATTTAAAAAATCTTAGTTACAGTGAAATGAAATAATTTAAATGTGTAACAAAATAAAGAACTATGAAGGATGAGGCATATTGATTTCCTCTAGAAGTATTATGCGTGTTACACTAAATCTATTCTTACAAGATCAAAGTTGAGAGACATCTTTATAATTTTTGTTAGTCAAGTGCATAGCTTCATATTTAAACTTTATAATAACTTCACAAGTTTCAATAAAAAACATTTAAACATCGTGTACATAAAAAACAACCGAAATAACTTCAGATCTTTCCAAAAGAAAATTTAATTAAACTTTTATATCTCATTGGTTCAACGCAAAAAAATGATCTTATGATTTCTGAGCATTGCAACTTCAACTTTCTTCCGACAACTGTAATGTTTAAAAATAATCTCACAAATTTTCAAGAAAATTCTGAGTAAATTTTCTGGGGGGTTTCCAAGGTTCTTTAAAGGCTCTTAAAAACGAGTTGGTTTTAAAGATATTTGTGATGAAGATGAATTCAAAGAAACTGGCAAACTACTCTGATGATGAAACATCTTTACACGGAACTCCTAGTCAAAATCCTGACACCGCGCAATGTTATTTTTTTTTCTGAGGCTAATTTTTGGACATTAGAGCATTGTGTAAAATGTACATTTGTACATTTCTGAAAATTCTTTTCATTGTAGAGACAAGATTTAGTCCAGGATACTTCTCTGCTCCTTGAAACATTTAGAGCAGTAAGACGAGGTTTCAGGAGAACCAAAGAATTTACAATCCTGAGTCCGGCAGGGATTCCCAGTTGGAGGCAATTTTATCTAAATAACAAGGTTCAATTTATATCATCAACATGGATATTGGTTATACCCAAACAAATTATACTCGAGTAAAGAGTTTAAAAAGTTCATTCATTAATGTTAAATTTGCCACATTTAGAAAGTTTCAGGTCGTCATTAAGATTTCTATCACTTAAATTTGAGTGTAACTTACTATATTAATATAATTATTATACAATATTGAAAATTCTTTATATTCAAATGTATTTAACAAACCTGAAGATTAGCGTTCAACATTGTATTCTCGGGAATATTCTTCCTAAAAAAAAAAGAAAAAAGAAAATATAAAGGCACTGACTTGCCACAAAATCAAATTTTCAAATCTTTTCAACCTGATGATTTTCTTCTTTAAATACATCGTTTATTAAATAAGAGTTTGTGGCAATAAATCAGTTCCTTCGAGGAAAGGTATTACAGAAATTTTTGTAATGACTGAAGGTTGGAGGATTAATAAAGAATTGGATAGTTTTTAATAAGAAAATGCGCATTTAAGAAAATGATACTATTCATAAATTTTTGTGGTTTTTCAAATCTTTACTTAAGTTAAAAGGTTTTTTTTTTGCGGAATATCTGGAATAAGTTGGCGATCTCGTAACTAGACCATTATTCATGTAATCTTGTGATTGGGAACATGCAAGATTTCAAGGTAAATGGAAATGAATTGAGTCTTTGCCACATCCTCAAATTTGCTAATCCCTATATCTTTGCAACCAGATGATGTAATCTAAAACTTAGATTATTTGATCTTACAGAATTCATAGTTTAAAATATCTAAGGTCTAAGGTTGCAATGATCAGAGTTTGTGGCAAAAACTCAATTTACTTTGAACAATTTAGATTAAAATTCAAAATATGGGATGCAGTTGTCAAAATTTCAACTCATCACAATTTACCAGCGGATAAAAATATAAATTGTAAAATGTAAATACAATATATGCAAAAAAGATGCCTCTGCTGTCTACACACCTAGGAAGGAATAAAGGGCTCATGGGAAGAATAGGTTTCTTCCGAATTGGTGGTTTTGGGCCCAGGTCTGGAGTAGAAGATCTTAACTGTGAAACAGGAACTATTGGCATAGGATCTACGTGGTTCTTTGGAACTGGAACTACAAGGTCAGGAACCCTGTCCCTGTAGAAGGTGCTATTAGCAAGGTATATCGAGGGATCTACGACCCGAGGGATAGATTCAGTTGAAGTCTGGTAGGATCCAGAGTCAGGGTTAACATAGAAGGTTGATTTCCCGCTTCCATATAGAGCACCGTCTCCATGTAGTCCTGGTACTCGACTCGTAGCTCCAGATAAACCAGTCTGCTGGAGAGATTTAGCACTACTTCTCCCGTCAAACTCATCGGATACCTTCACAGTAGAAAACAATCAATTTAAGAACAAGAGTGCTGTTAAATTAGTATTAACTAATGTTTATCTCATGTGTCTAATTATACAATGGTTGTGATAAAATTCATAACAAAACATTGAACTTAGACTAAGCAGAAAGATGTTTTAAAGTAGAGAAACCATGTAAAAATAAGATTTACAAGAACAGAGAACGGAAAATATATTCCAACTTTTGCACAAAACTTTGTTTCCGTTCAAGAATCTGAAACTTTATAACAATTTCTGATTTTCTAAGCTCAATGTTTTTGCAACGCAACGTCGTAGACCTTAGATAATTTGAACTATAAATTCTGTTAGATCAAATAATAAAAGTTTAAAATATATAAGGAGTGCATCATCAGGTTGTAATGATATAGGGATTAGAAAATTTTAGTTTCTGGCAAAGACTCAATTCCTTTTATCAAGAAAAATAAATCTAAGTATAAACAGGGTGACCCACATCAAATTAGACCGCGTCAATGGGTCTTAATTGGGGAAAAATCAGAAAATTTAAGAAGAATGAATCATTTTGAAAATTTAATAAAGCTAATAAAAATAAAATGCAGAAAATGCTCGATATTTCGAATATTATGTGCGTATTTTGGCGTTAAAGATTGGGGATAATCTAATATGATATGGACGCTCTGTATGTTAACCTGTAATGAGTAGCAGGATCTGCAGAGGTAGGATGTATCCGAGTGCCCAATATCTCGGCACGATGGATTGACACATTGAACAGACTTGACAGGTTCTCGACCTTTCTCCCTTTCCCTTCTCTCCTCGGCCTGCTGGAGCTTCATCTCCTTGTCCTTGGTAAACCTGAAATATTTTATTTAAGAAAAAAACTGACTTATAAATTTTAAAAAAATACTTGAATGTTATTCTCAAGAGATACGAGAACTGCGGCTAGGAGAGGCGCTAGAAGGCCAAGCCTAGAAACTTTCAGAGATTATCCAGAATATGTCTTTCCGGAACAGATAAAAATCTGAACCTGGCAAGCATTAAAGAACTTTCCTACATGGACCTGGCTTCCGGGAGATTTAACTTTGCTATGTTTCTTATCTGAACCTGGATTCCGGGAGATTTAACTTTGCTATGTTTACTACATGGACCTGGCTTCATGGAGATTTACCTTTGCTTGGTTTCCTGCTAAACTTTGCTTCTATTATAACTTTGCTTGGGTTTCCTATACCTTAACCTGGCTTCTTGGCTAACTTTGCTGGGTTTTCTACCCAAACCTGGCTTCCTGGAGAATTCATGTAGGTTCGCTACACAAACCCGACTAAATTATATTTTCTACCTGAACCTGACTTCCCGGAGAACTTTTCCGGATTTCCTATCTGAACCTAGTTTCCTGGAGAACTAAGCTAAATTTCTTACCTGAACCTGGCTTCCTAGAACCAAGCTAGGTTTCTTATCTGAACCTGGCTTTCTGGAGAACAAAGCAATGTGTCCTCATGAAGGCCTCTTGAAGAACTAAGCTAAGTTTCTTACTTGAACCTGACTTAATGGAGAACTAAGCTAGTTTTCATACTTGAACCTGGCTTCCTGGACAACTAAGCTAGGTTTCCTACCTGAACCTGGTTACTAAGCTAAGTTTCCTACCTGAACCTGGCTTCCCGGAGAACTAAGCTAGGTTTCCTACCTGAACCTAGCTTCCAGGAGAACTAAGCTAGGTTTCCTACCTAAACCTAGCTTCCAGGAGAACTAAGCTAGGTTTCCTACCTGAACTTGGCTTCCTGGAGATAGTTCTCCACCATCTCCTGTTGGTACGGTAGACTGTGTTGGGTTTCAATAAGAGCTGCTAGAATATGATCCTGGTTTCCTCCGACTATCCTCGTTCCAGGCAGGCGGGTGGTTTGACTTACTCGACGCATCTCCTTTCGCATACCCTTAAAGGAGCCTGTTCTTGCCAACCGTGTGATAGTTCCAAGATTTTTCCTGAAAATAAATATTCTAAATAGTTTTTTAAGGTTCAGAAAGTAAGGATATCAAATAAAAACTACAGGGTGACCCAAAAAACAGGGATTAGGGTTTTTCAGCACTTTTAATGTTAAAAGACTCGTAAAGATGGTGCAATATAGTTTTTAATTTTACAGTTGCATTCCTACAGCCTAGGAGAGCAGAGATCTGCTCAGAAATCTCTCTACAATATTTGCAGTGGACGCTGAGAAAGGTGTCTACATATAGGAGGAAGGGAAGGCCAAGCGGCTCTGAACCCCATGCTAAATTAGCTAGCCTCCTTTATTAACTACAGTTTCCACGGCCGGGGTCCTAGGTCAAGAATTAGGAATAACAAAGAGCTAATATGTCTAATACTAATCCGGTTTTGTATCCACTCTACTGAGCGGTCGGAGCCCTTTCTGGAAGGGCCCTGACCCTGCTGAAACAGAGCTGAAAAAAGGGACACTCCGCATTCTGCATGCAGTAGCGGTGCACTGCACACTAAATGTGATACTTCCTAAGGAATTCCGCTGGACTGGGAAACAGTATAACATGTGGACAAATAAGAGTGTTTTTTAACGAAAATTCCTGATACGCCACTTCTACAAACCCTTATCCTCATCTCCACTTTCCTTTACCTACCATCTAACCTTCTCACAAGCAGCGAAACAAGACTTGAGGACATTTCTCTGTTTGATCCTACAACAAATTACCCCTAAGCAGGTCACTTGATTATCCTTCCTTGGAATGGCAAACTTCCTTTTATAGGAAAGTAAAAATGTGCGCTTCATAGCAGGGAAGCTATTGCTCCCTCGCTGCAGATACAAAAAAAACTAACTTGAAGTGCTCAGACTGCAAACTTCAATTAAGCAAAACAAAAGGAGAGGATGACATCTATACAATGAAAGGTTGATCGTGCACTGTCTTATAATAGCGCAAAGACAGCGACTAGTAAACAGTCTTTCAATAGCAGCGCCATAAATGGACGGGCAAATGGAAGCAAGAAAAAGAGAAACTGCGGACGTGCAGATGTTTTCTCGAGACAGGAACATCAGATATAACTTTCATGGGTCGCGATCAAGAGCTAAAGGGATTAGCTTTCAGCCTATACCCCCTTTCATTTTCCCTTTACTGTCCCTTTAAGTAGGTTTTTTGACGTCCGATCCTTCCGTTTTGTTTAAAACTATGTAAAATATTCGAAAATCCCTCCATTAACTTCAGATAAACAAGTGTTGGTTAAGAAACAAAGAAAATTAAACATATATTTGAACCCCTTAAGATTTTTCTTTTGGAGTTTCTAAAATTAAGTGTATAGTGTATACGTAGTCCTAAACCCAGAACTCTATGGAGAGAAATCTACACAGCAGTCCCGGTCTTATGGTTAAGAACAGCTTAGAAATAGGACAATTATTTGTCATGGCATTATTTTGGAGCGAAATATATACATGTATAATTAAGTACTCATTATTATAATTTCTAATCATATTTCTTTTTTCTCTACAATAAAGACTTGAATAAAATATTAAAATCTAGTTCTTGTTTAAAGTAAACAGGTTTTTTTTTTAATATTCGACATAGTTTTACGACAAAAGGAAGCATCGAACGACAAAATGTTACTTTAACGACCCCTTTTAAAATCCACTACAATATACTAGAGCTCTTCTTCGATTCATTCAAAAGATTACAGGGGCTTAAGAACGCAAATCTCTGTTTTTTGGGTTTATTATACTTATTTTTCTAATGGAAGAGGTTTAACCCTGAACTTACTTTAGTTTTTTAGAAACAGTTTTCCCAAGGGATCCGAACTGTTTTGCAACAGACTGGATCTGTTTACTCGTTCGAGATTTGTGATCTTGGTCCTCGTAGAGATTATATTCAGCATACTCCGGAGAATCCAGATCAGGACTAGGAGCAGGATCCAGAAAACAGGCTGGCAAAGGGACCTGGAGAACATCAACTATTAGATTAGGCAAAATCAGGGTGCGGAAACGTCATGTATGTATGTCTGTACCCAAAGAGTGTGTGTACTGTGTAAGTAATACCGAACTGAAGGTGTATACTGTAGTTATATACAGTACATAAGAATCTCGGTATTTGTACAGTCAAATTTTGTTTGTTGTTAATTGTTTACCTAAAAATAAGTTTAATATACATGTAATATATTGTTTATATATTTAAGTCAACACTATAAGCCAATTTTTTTATGCAAAGAATATAATTTGATTAAAGTTTACAATAAACTACTCGTTATTAAAGCTTAATTATAATTAACAACATTGTTCTGCAATTTCCTTGACTGTAGTCATGTTGTGTGTCTGTACCAAAAGAGTGTGCGTGTGTGATAACGAACTCGTCTGCAAAGCAGTATGACTGGCTTTCTCATGCCAGACCAGCGCCATTTCCCTTCCCTTTATTCTTATTCCCTGGGCAAAATATGCTGGCAACAAAAACTGTGAACTGAATGTCGTCTTATTTCTTCTCTAATAAGAAACTAATTGTAAAAACTGATTTATTTCAATGACAAATCTTAAAGGGACTGTAGGCGTACTTTAAAGTCATTTTCCAGCATTAAAAAAAATTGATTAATTTAAATAATGTTTTTTTTAACCGTTACATTTCTGCTTCAGAAACAATGGAGGAAAAGGTCAGAATTCGTCTCTTTTTTAAATAAAAAACCACGAAAAGTTCAACATTATTGAGCAGATAAAGGTTCTTTAAATTAAAGGTTCTTTGAAAAAACTGAACATTATAACAATACTCCCTATCCACTATTTTCTTGTTCCCACTGAATATTTACTCTCCGAAAAAAAGTTACATCTTTATTTACAAACTAAAACTAGAGCACTATCATTTCTGTATTTTTTTCATGAAGGATTTTGTGGGTCAACTTCACCTGAACAAGATCCAAGTATTCTCGGAGTAAACATAGTTTTTCAGACTCCCGGAGAACCAACCTAGCAAAAGAAGAGGGTTGGAAACCAAAATAATAATCTTTTTTCAAAAAATCATCAAAAAAATATGAGGGGGTTGAAGATTATTACAGCTTTTAGAGGAAAACGTAAACATGGGATCATCATTGTTGTTAGGCTTTCCCTCTTTCTGATACTTTTCACAGAAATCTCTCTCAGAAACCGTTTGATTCCCCAGTTAAAACTCACAGATAAATAATATACAAGATTTAGGTCAACAGATTTTTGAAGCACATTTTTTTAAAATTCTTAAAATTTATTCTCCAGTACTCCTGTACAATACCTGGAGAGCAGAGCTGGGTTTTCCTGATCCTCGGCCCAGTTAAACTGGGAACCTGGATCTATACTGAACTGTAGAGGGAGAAGAACATGGTTAGAGTCGGTTACAGGAATCACAGCTGAAATATGACAATCAAGTTGAAATCAAAGAATATCTTTTGTGTATTTTGTAGATGTTGCATGGTTGAATTTAATTTGTAAAACTAGATGAATCAAGTCTTCCATAAATAACTGATCTAGATTATCTAAGGATAATTCAAGGTTGCAATACTTTGGAACTAGGTCAAACATGTGTTCAGCGGGCAATAAAACTACGATTATAGAAAAAAGAATATCATTGATAATAAAGATACTGTAAATACAGTTTACAATATGATATTCGATTCATATTATCACTTGAATATACTTTGCAGTTAGACGGTGGATAATTGTTCAAATTATGGATAGTTAGTAGAATATTTTTTTAATAACTAAAAAAAAAGAATAGTCGAAAGAATTTTTAAAATGTCTTTTTCTAAACCTACTGATTATAGAATGCTGTAGAAATTTAGTTTTTTAATTGAATAATAATATGGAGCTCTTTTTAACTGTTTATTTTAAACTATTTATCTATTTTACAATTACTGAGATTTAGGTATAATAGTATAAAAAAAACATTGAAAAATTGTCATGACGACATTTTATAGTTCTTTCGATGTATCCGAAGTTTTGGGAACTGAAGCAAATAAGAATAAAGAATTAAACATTCCTTATTCTACTATTTGTAATTACCTGGGAGAGAAAATTCTGAATTAGCATCAGGTTGCATCGAGACTAGAGCAGAGAAGTGACCAGAGTCGTAGGTCAGGATTAATGGACATTTATGGCACTCTGACGGAGGTATCTCCAGGGGAAGATAGATACCACCAAACGGTATTGGAGCTAATGCTTCTCCGTAAGCATCCTAAATTACAACTGAGATTACAATTAAACTTGGGAGGTCAGGGTCTAACTACATCTGCAATTATTAATAGTTTTATAATTTTGATAAGATCTGTTGTAATTGAATTATTGAAAATCTTTTACCATCTTTTAGATTAAGAATAAGATCTGCTAATAAGATGGAAAATTTATTACTTTTAAAATAGCATCTGCTCTGATGATAAATATAATGTTTCAAACATAATATCTCCTACTAAGATTAAAAATATATTACTTTACGAATAAGACCTGCTATTATGATGATAAATATGTTATTTGAAGAATAAGATCTGCTACATATGTTACTTAAAGAATGTGATCTGCTAATATGATGATAAATATATTACATTAAGAATAAGATCTGCTACCATAATGCTAAATATGTTACTTTACAAATAAGATCTGCTACTATGATGATAAATATATTAATTTAAGAATAAGATCTGCTACGATAATGATAACTTTTACTTTAAGAATATGATCTGCTTCTATGATCATAAAAATATTACTTTAAGAATAAGATCTGCTATACTGTGATGCTAATTATGTTACTTTAAGAATAAGATCTGCTACTATAATGATAAATATATTACTTTAAGAATAAGATCTGCTACGATAATGATAACTTTTACTTTAAGAATATGATCTGCTTCTATGATCATAAAAATATTACTTTAAGAATAAGATCTGCTATACTGTGATGCTAATTATGTTACTTTAAGAATAAGATCTGCTACTATAATGATAAATATATTACTTTAAGAATAAGATCTGCTATACTATGATGCTAATTATGTTACTTTAAGAATAAGATCTGCTACTATAATGATAAATATATTACTTTAAGAATAAGATCTGCTACTATAATGATAAATATATTACTTTAAGAATAAGATCTGCTACGATAATGATAACTGTTGCTTTAAGAATAAGATCTGCTACTATTATTATAAATATATTACTTTTAAGAATAAGATCTGCTTCTATGATTATAAATATATTACTTTAAGAATAAGATCTGCGACTATGATTATAGGTCTCCTGATCACATGAGCTAGAACTAGAATATGTATCTCCTCCAGGCTCTCATACAGAGGATTCTCCCAACCATCCTCGGAGACTGTAGAGAGGCGAGACCTCCGCCTGCTTGGCTGACCAGCGGGTATCCGAGGTTGCGGCGAAGCAAGGCGGAGGACCGAGTTCCATTCTTCATCCCATTCCGCCTCTGTCAGATATAAACCTGATAAATATTGTTTTTGAAGTGCATTTCATATTTTACCAACTACAAATGACACTAAATTGAGAATAAAATCGAGAATTTGACCTTGATCATTTTTTAACCGGATTATCTAATAGATCACAAGAACATGACTTTCAGATCTATTATCAACTACTAAACTATAAAAACAGTAATGACTTTCTTAATCAATGATTACCTACCTGATCCATCCAATCAATGATCAACTACCTAACCATCCAATCAATGATTAACTACCTGACCATCAAATCAATGATCAACTACCTGACCATCAAATCAATGATCAACTACCTGACTGCCTGTTCTGAATAGTTGCTTCAAGTCTCCATCTCCTGTATATAGAATCAACTGAAGGATTCAAAGTAAGGAATGAATATAAAGCTTTCCTTAGAGTCAGTAATCTAAACAGAAAAAATTAACATATAATTAAGAGAAAACTATTCAATAAATTAGGAAGCAAAACACCAAAAAATGGAATTGATTTGGATTGACTTGCATCTAATAACCTTTAAGAACTTTGACTCTGCCTATTTGATCTAGCAACATTCATAACAACATAGCAAAGGACTATAACATCAGGTTTCAATGATATGAGGATTTGGAAATTAGAGTTTGAGCTAAATAATGTATTAGAGGTCAATCTTCTCTTAAAGATACATGCGAACATTGAGCAACATTTTTATTTTTTTAGAAAACGTTTCAACGGATTTCGAAAAATGTGAGTGGTGCGCAGCATTCTTAGATAGTTGCGCAAGCGACAAGAGAAAAAATCAAATTCAAAACAAATTAATTAAAAAATATTATAAAATATAAACTATATACAAATGTGGCGAAAGATAATCGATGACTATAGGTTGTAATATCTGAATGATTTGTTTGAAATTAAATGGATTTTTTTACGGTCTAAGTCGTATGTTGCAATTTTCTGAATTTGTATGGGCGCTAAGCTATTCGGTATGAGACGTCTTTAACAATTTTCTCCTTATAGACGCAACAGATAGAAGTAAGATTATTAGCGATCAAAAGCGCTTTTTTTATCGCATTAAGCCTATACCCCCTTTTATTTTTCGCGAACACTTCCCTTAAAGCAAAGAATTTGTCTCTTGAACTCAGAATAGGAAAGAAGTATTGACCTGTCATGAAACCCCCACATTCCTAGAGAAGCTGCGTGAAGGAGACAGTTTCCATCCCCTGAAAATAATCTTCCTCCATTTTAAATAATAACTATTTCTCTTTCGTTTTCTTCTTTGTTTTCTGAATATTAATTTAATTCTATTTTTTCTCTCTCTCTCAGATTTTTTAATTATCTCATTTTAATATTATGTTATTTGTAACACAATATTTTTACCTATTAATCGTTGATTTATTACCTGTGGTAGCTAGCGGCCATAATCTCTGACAAGTACCAGTATCGGCCCACCAGTTCAACCTGCCTCCCTGCTCAAGAGATATCAACGCTGAGAGCTCTATTAGATCTTTCTCTAGAAATCCTCGAAAATCCTGGGGGAACCTGGTCAGATTTGGCAAGGTGAAGGTGTAGATGGGAGTCTCTAGCTCCGAGGGGGTTGGGGAGACGAAACCTCTCTCCTCTCCCTCCCCCCTGGAACTGAAGTCCAGCTGAACTACTGTTCTAGCCGCAGATACTAGTGTTTCATTTCCAGTAGCATGTGAGATGCCACGCTCCATCTTTTTCCGAACTTAAAAAAAGATATTTTCAATTTTGATACTAGGTGAATTAGTCAGTTTTAGCCTATTACTACGACCTTACTACTATCAGGATTTCGGACTTTTCATGAATTGGTCTTAAAAAATTCTTCTTTCCTACTTTGCACAAGTAAACACTAAGCTACCGTATAGTCTAGTTTTACTCCTACTAATTTCTATTTAGGCATAATCTTACTTTGCTTTGATGTTATCCTGATTTCATACTTTGTTCAATATAATCCAGGATCATACTCTCTCTGCGTATAATCCCACTTTGCTCCAATTGAACCTTTGGCTCCCGTATTAACCTAAGTACTATACTCCGATATAGACTCTGAACTGCGCGGTAGAGTGTACAGAGAAGAATAGGAATGACTGAGTATGCGGTAATACTCCTACTACTTGTAGTCGGGTTTACGACTATATAATTTTATATACGAGGGATCAGGTTCCAATTGTATTGTTACCTTCCATTTTTTAATGAAGTTTATGAAAAGATGAAAACATGATAAATATCCTATATGATAAAAGTAAGTGTGCTAAGTTAATGTTCCAGGATATACCTGGGTCGGGTGTGTCACTGTATCAGGTATTATTCAAAGATTAGCTCTATCCTGCTCTATATTCTACCTACGCTACACTATACCTATCCTTAGTATTTTAGTTTCAAGCTTTATTTTCGGTCTTCAAGCCCTGTTGTCCATATTGTTATATGCAAAAATATTAACAATAAGTTAAGAACAATCTAAAGCAATAAATCCAGCACTATTTTGAGCGCCATCTAGACCTTAGCCAAACCAAATCCTCAGTTGTTTTAAAATAATATCTCAGAAATGTCAGAAGCACTTTCTCAAGCAACGCAATGTTACGTACACCATCTCAATCATTGCAGAGCATTGAAATGGGAAGATTATTCTCCTATTTTACACAAGATAATTTTCTTATTTTACAGAAGATTCTTCTCCTGATTTACAGAAGATTGTTCTCTTATTTTACAGTTTTATTCTCATATTTTTCAGAAGATTATTCTCATATTTTACAGAAGATTATTCTCTTATTTTATAGAAAAATTTTCTTCTATTTAACAGAAGATTATTTCTCCTATTTAACAGAAGATTATTCTCTTATTTTCGAGAAATTATTCTCCTATTTAATAGAAGATTTTTCTCCTACTCTACAGAAGATTATTTTACGGGAAAATGTTCTCCTATTTTACTGTGCATTATTTTTATTCTACAGTAGAATGTGCTTCTATTCTACAGTAGATTGTGCTCCTATTCTACAGTAGATTGTCTTCCTATTCTACAGTAGAATATGCTCCTATTCTACAATTAAATATGCTCCTATTCTACAATATAATGTGCTCCTATTCAACAGTAAAATGTATTCCTATTCTACAGTATAATGTGCTCCTATTTTACAGTAGATGTACTTCTATTTTACAATAGAATGCATCCCTATTCTACAGTAGAATGTGCTTCTATTCTACAGTAGAATGCATTCCTATTCTACAGTAGAATGTGCTCATATTCTACAGTAGAATATACTTTTGTAGTATAGTAGAATGGCTTCTAATCTACAACAAAATGTGCTTCTATTCTACAGAAGAATATGCTACTATTCTAAAGTAGATTGTGCTTCTATTCTACAGTAGAATATGCTACTATTCCACAGAAGAATATGCTCCTATTCTACAATGGAATGTACTCCTATTCTACAGTAGAATTTCCTGCTATTTTACAATATTTCAATATATGATTGGAAAAAGGTAAATACAGCATAGCAGGGAAGATATTGGAGAATAGTTTATCGGAAAAAAGTTTAAAGATTTAAGATTATACGAGTTTAGGTTGTCGATAACATTATTAATATTTTTTATATTATGAGGGGGGGGGGTCCAATCTAGGAAAAACTCTTAATCTTGACCCAACTGCTGAGTTTTGGATGGGACAAATATTAGATAACTACAAAAATTTAAATTTATTCTGGTACTTGAATCTCAAATTTGAGAGCTCTGGTTGCCTTCAAAAACAGTTTCTTAGTTCTTCTAGTAATATTGTAATGCTCTTTAACCCTTTTTTTTATTCAAATGTAAAACAATTATTTCGTAGATAGAAAGTACAAAGATGCAAAATTTGCTTCTTTTTTTGTAGCATTTGTTTAAATATCGTCTATTGTCTAATAATAACACCACTCTCATTATCCCCTATGCACCCGGACGAGTTATTCTTCAATTTTGGTGTGTAAAAATAGGCACGGGTTGGGGTTTAAATTTTGAAAAGTTTAAAACACTGAAACAAAGACCTTGTATGACCTTTCTGTGTAATACGTGCATAAAGTCAACATTCAGATCTCTAGCTTTGTTCCACTACAAAACACAATGAAAAAACGTACCTTCGGTTTCCACTATTTCAACTGCGTTGGATTTCTTTAGAACCGGTTTTACGGGAGAGCTGTGAAAAACATCTGAAATAAAACAGGTTAAAATATTTAATTTTTCTTTCCCCTCGAAAAAAAATAGACTTGCATTACTCAATTGCAGTCTTGTACTTTGGAACCCAACTGGAAAAGGCGGACGTCGTTATTTCCCGTTTATACTAGCCTGGAGATAGTTAAACCTGTCTTGCTTTCAGGTACGTACACACTGAAGGAAATTGAACCTGTGCTATGTCCATGTCCACTGTCCAAGTACCAACATGGAGTTCGTCCAAGTACTCACCTAAAGAAGGTTGAACCTGTCCCGTGTTTAAGTCCAGGAACCCACCTGGAGTGGGTTGAGCAGTAAGTGTGGTTTGCTTGAGAAGGTTCGATAAAGAATCAGGAATATACTCGGGAGATTTATCCTGAATCGGAAATTAATAAAAAATTACAATATTTTGTTCAGGCTAAATACAAATATTTCTACTATAAACCTTGAGTCTTTGCCACAAACTCTGACTTTTTACGCCTGTAGCTTTGCAACTCGATTTTGTTAAATATTTCAAGCTATTCTGTTATCTAAGTTTATCTAAGTTTGAAATTTATAAGGTTTACGCCATTAGGTTGCTAATATGTAGGGATCAGAAAAATTGAGTCTGCGGCAAAAAGCCAACTCTACACAGTCAGAATACTGAATATACAGTGTCTTTATAATCGTTTGTAATTTTTAAATCGCTCTATATTGATATAAGCAAAAAGTTCAATTGCTTATATTTTACATGTTTGAATTCTACTGGTTGGCATTTTTGAGAAATCATATCAATGATCTCCATTCATGTTCAAGCTTTGCTCAAATTTAAATCCATTCTTCTGAGAACAGGCCAGTGTACTTGTAGTGCTCGGCACCGTAGCTGATGAACAGATTTCGTTACATCTTCTGATTCCAGAGACTCTGGAAAGGACTAAACAGTATGTTTCAGGTCGTCAATATCTGTATGAGGAACCCTTTTAAGCTTTGCTAATGTAGTTGTTAAAAGCTAAGTTTAACAACCGAATGATGGATCATCTCTGGTCAGCAAAGAGTCCAGATTTGTCGCCTTTGAACTACTGGTTCTGGATCGAGAGATGCATTAGAAGAGCTTAGAAGGGTTCCACAAACAGATATTGACCACCTGAAACAGACTGTGGAGCACGTGGAGTCCTTTGCAGAGTCTCTGGAATCCAGAAAGCTGTTCATCACCTACGGTGCCGAGCACGATGGCCTGTTCTCAGAAGAATGAAGCTAAATTTGAGCAAGCACAAAGTGATCATGAATGGAGATCATTGATGTGTTTTCTCTAATGTCCCAACCTGTAGAATCCAAAAATAAAAGATTCAAACAAATTAACTTAGTGTTTATATTACAATAGAGCGATTCAAAAAAGACAAACCATTAGAAAGACACTGTATATAAACAAACTATTTCAAAAACTGAATCAAATAATAAAAAACTCTGGACCCTTACATTTTTTGTACCAGTATCAATATAGTGAAATATTTATAATCAACATTTGACAAGCTCTTAGATTTTCATATTTGGCGAGAAGTTCAAACAACATAATATTTTCACTAAAGATGAATAACAGTTTCAGCTCAAGTTGTTGTTCAAATTTCAATCATTTTCTCTTATCTTACTTCATACAACTGACAATGTGCAGAACGAGTCATCATGCAGATAATATACTTCTGCTGATTAGTTTTTTCATGGATTCAACTATTATTCTACTCTTATACAGTGAAACCCTTAATAACGAATACATCGAAAGAATTCATCAAATTGTGGAAGACGATGCCTCCGCCTCGTAACTGTTCCAGTACAAGATGGTTCGCTGCTCTGTGACGCAAAGACGAAAGTTCTCCGCCCTTTGGTTCCATCTTCTCAAAGGTTTAACATTTTTTCCGCCTTACATGGAATATCACATCCTGGAGTTCAAGCATCCAGACGTCTTATTTCTACAAGGTTTGTCTGGAGGGGCTTAGCCAACGACGTCCGTGACTGGTGCAAGTCCTGCCTGCAGTGCAAACGAGGTAAAGTCCTCCGCCATGTTCACATTCGCCCTGATGGAATAAGTTATAAGAAATATATACACTGGAAGTTATTTATGCGTTTTCATTAGAGTCTGACTCACGTCCTCTATAAAATGTCGTATCTTCACTTTCTGATAATGGAATGTTGCAGATATTTAGTTTTTTAATTAAATGATTATATGGAACTTTTTAAAACTGTTCCCGCATATTCATAGCTTTTTATTAATTTTCGCAAATACTGAAATTTACGAAATATAGTAAAAATTTCATTGAAAAATTGTCAAGACGACATTTGATAAATTCTTTCGATGAATTCGTTATTAAGGGTTTCACTGTAATAAAATTATTTTGCATCCTGATGTCGAAGATCGTTGATATTTTAAACAATGAATTCTGCTAGACTAAACTGCAGTGAAAGGTTGGAATATAAAAAGTTTACACCACCCAGAGTCTAAAACTAAATAATGCGCAAAATTTAAGTTATTGCTTAAAAGTTCTGAAAAATAATGAGTTGCTACTTAAATGTTAACCTTTCTAAATTTACCCTTGAGTTAATTTAGTTTTATACTCTGAAGGGAATTTTAAATTTCCCGCGGAAAATATGATCACCAATCAGATTACGGGAATTAAAGATCGACAGAGATTATGCAATGTCAGCTGTACTGTTTCATAATTTTTATTTGTTGACGGTAACTGTGTAGCGGTAAGTTGGTAACTTAATATATTTCGGAATAGATTTATTCCAGATGACGGGAAAAGATTTTTTAACTTAAATCGTCAGATTAAATCATTTTCATGCATTGAAATATCGCAAAATTGAATACGTAATTTTTCGGGTTTAAAATTTAACTCACCGAAACCTACGAGTTAAATATTTAAGCTGTAGCCTAAAATTCAGGTTTAAATTAAGTCAGAAGTGGTATTTTAGTTGAAACTTAATATTTAAGTCTTAACTCTTTATTTTTGGACTCAGGTTGCAAGCATATGGACAAGATTATGTACGTTATTTACTTTAAAATAAAAAAACATTCTGTAATTGCAATACAAAATTACACCCGTGATGGACATTACATCCCCCTTGGTGCACATAATTGAAAATTAAGTTTTTCTTAAAGTTAAAGGGAGAGACTGGCTAGACATGGAAGTTGAGCTGAGAGTGCAGTATTGTAGAGAAACTTTTTAGATTTCATTTGAGACGTTTGAGACGTTTGAGACATATAAGATGTTTTCACGGTGAATAATTGTTTAACACGAGCGAAAATTCAATCCTCCTGGTACCCGCCACCCAGCAGTTAGTGGCGCGGCACGCCTACCTGGAAGGTTGTAGCGCGACAATCTAGAAGGATTTTAAAAATCGAATTTTTGCTCTTGCTGCACTCTCAGCCCAACTACCATGTCTAGCTAGTCTCTCCCTTTAATATTCTAAGTCAGGCATGATATATATTAAAACCTACCGAATATATCTGACAGGAGATTATCTTTCCTCCGGACCTTCGTCTAGAAAACAAAATGTTAGTTTTCATCAAAAAGAATTGAGTCTTAGCCACTAACTCTAACTTTCTAATCCATATATGTTTGCCACCTGATGGTGTTAACCTTTGATATTTCATAGTTAGAAATATTTAAGGTCTACAACATTGGGTTCCAAAGATATGGAATAAGAACATCAGAGTTCATTACAAAGAAAATCACAAGGGTTAATTTCTAAATCATTTACAGAGATATTTTAACATGAGAATAAAAATGAAATATTATAAATTCTCCGAACTGTACACGTTTCCAAATATTCCGAACTGTTTCCAAATATCATAAATTCTCCCAACTGTTTCCAAATATTATAAATTCTCCGAATTGTTTCCAAATATCATGAATTCTCTGAACCGTTTCCAAATATCATAAATTCTCCGAACTGTTTCCAAATATCATAAATTCTCCGAACTGTTTCCAAATATCATAAATTCTCCCAACTGTTTCCAAACATTATAAATTCTCCCAACTGTTTCCAAATATCATAAATTCTCCAAACTGTTTCCAAATATTATAAATTCTCCGAACTGTTTCCAAATATCATAAATTCTCCGAACTGTTTCCAAATATCATAAATTTTCCGAACTGTTTCCAAATATCGTAAAGGAATTGAGTCTTTTCCACAAACTCGAATTTTTTAGCCTCTATAGTCTATATCATTTTAACCTAATAGTGTAATATTTCAAACTTAGACTATTTTATCTAACAGAATACATAGTTTGAAATATCTAAGGTCTACGACATTTGGTTGAGAAGATATAAAAATTAGAAAATAAGATTTTGTTGCCAAGAATCATTTCGTTTCCCGAACCGTTTCCAAATATTATAAATTCTCTGAACTGTTTCCAAAAATCAGCACTTAGTTGTGAACTTTTTTAAACTAACAAAGCAAGTTAAACTCATTCTTTCCTTGTAGGGAGTTCAATCCCTACCAATTAGAAATAGATTAAACTGATTTCATAAATTCAAAAGTTTGCAACTCCTCCGTTACCTTATATTATCAACTTCATCCGGAGACTCCCGCCCACCAACGGTTTCACACTAAATGTCAACAATTAGAATGTTTGTCTACAATTTGAAGCTCCTTAATGTACACAGCTTTGCTGCAGTGCTATCAAATTTAAGGCATTTAGAAAATTATCATGTCTGAAACTCTGAGGAATGAAACTGGAAACTGCTGTCAGATCTGTTTTTCTAACCTGGAAACTGCTGTCAGATCTGTTATTCTAACCTGTAAACTGCTGTCAGATCTGTTATTTTAACCTGGAAACTACTGTCAGATCTGTTATTCTAACCTGGAAACTACTGTCAGATCTGTTATTCTAACCTGGAAACTGCTGTCGGATGAGGAAGAGGAGTGTCTACAAGAAACAGATCTCTTATGACCTGATGACAAATCAGAACCTCGTCCGTAAGAATTCGTCTCGGACGGAACCGGACTGGCAAATCGTCCAGAAGAGCCATTGCTTTCGTCCGAGAGTTTCCTGGACGAACATGTTGAAGCAGAGCTGGAGCAGAGTGCAGTCCTGGGTCCGATACAGTGAGATTCATCAATATCACAGATATAATTCATTTTCAAGCATCACCATTTATCCTAAACAAAAACAAAAATTATAGTACTGGAAACTAAACAGATGGAAAAGGTAAAACTTACGCAATATCACTGGTACAATACAATACCACAAGTATGAAAAAAGCTTTTTTCCAGATAGAAATTAAAAACATTTTTTCTTTTTAATATTTCTTTATAAAGTTATGATTGAAAACATATGAGAGTTCAATCTTACGTACAATTTACTTTATATTGATGTGACTGTAAACATAACTTCAAATGACCCCTTAATTTATATGTATAGGGCAATTTCCGATTCACAACGGTTTAGAACCCCAAAAAGGTCTTGGAGGCCAGTGGCGTAAATAAGGGGGGTTATTGGGGTTATTTACCCCTCCTAGAATCCTGGGGGTAATTACCCCCCCCTAGAATCCTGGGGGTAAATACCCCCCCTAGAATCCTGGGGGTAAATACCCCCCCCCCCTAGAATCCTGGGGCCCCTAGAATTTGTTTTTAAAAAAGGTTGATTTTAAAATTGCATATCTTTAAAATTTGCACGAACATATTCTAAGTTTGAAATATCAAAGGTTTACACCACTCGGTGCAAAAATTTAGGGATTAGAATATTTGAGTTTGTGGCAAAAACTCAGCGCCCCCCACACCCCAGATATTTTGCCCCCCCTAGCAAAAGTGCTAGTTGTTCCTCTGGAAATTAGAATATAAACAAAGACAATATTTTTTCAAAGAGTAGCTTTTATAAAGATTTAAAAAAGTAACATCTTTAAATTTTTCCTTAGAGTAAAATTTTTTTTATGTTTTATGTTTTCCTCCCTTAATCTCCCGGTTAAGCAGTAATTAATAGTTATTATAAATATCTATTTAAAAAGTGAAAGTAATTGCAAAATATTTTTTCCGTTCTTGACCAAACTTACAAACCACAAGAATATTATGATAAATGTTAAATCTATTATTTTACTGTGAAGAATTCATTATTTTATTCTTTAAAAAATTTCGTGGATTTACAAAATTTAAACAAATTTAATAAAAATCGAATTTTTATGGAGGCAAATTTTTGAAATTTTTATCCTTCATAACCTTTACTGGGGCAACATGAGGTCCCATACAAAATTTGGGCCCGATCGGTTCAGCCGTTTTGAAGTTTATTAGATACAAGCGAACGAAACGAATAGATAAAAAATAGATAAAGGAACTAAGCTTTTGCTTTAACAAACTAAAAATGTTCGAATCCCTATATCTTTGCACCCTAGTGGTGTAAACTTTTGACATAACAAAGTCAAACTATTGCTTTTTGATCCTTCACAATTCATGGTTTGAAATATCAAAGGTCTACGACATCGGGTTGCAAAGATATATAGAGAATTAAAAATCTGAGTTTGTGGAATGAACTCAGTTTCTATATTTAAAAAAATATATTTTACGACTTACATATTGTTTCATAATCTCAATCAGACATTGTGTACTGTGTGTGCATCTGAAATATTAAAATAGAATTTTTTAAACGTATTGCAAAGAATTTAAAGGAATTGAGTCTTTGTCATAAATACTAATGTACTAATCCCTATATCTTTGCAATTCTTGATAGTGTAAACCTTGATAATTCAAACTTAGATTAAATTTTATCTAACAGAATTCATAGTCTAAAATTTAAAAGGTCTACGACATTGGTTTGCAAAGAAAAATCAGAGTTTGCGGCGAAGACTCAATACCTGTCAATGAATAAGTTTATAGTGTTGTGTACTAAGAGTACTACAGCAGTCCATTGGCACTGACAAACTGCTTTAAATTATGCTTAAATTTGGGCCTGGCAGGTAGACTTAGTTGTGTGGAGGTTGATATTATATGGCTAGGGGTACGGTAGAGGGTGGATTAGGGGTTGAATGTTGCCAACCTTGACAGATTAGTTGTTCTGAACCGAAGGAATAATAATGAGATAAATAAGCTAAAAGCTTGATATCGGAAATCCATTCAACATCAACTAGATTATAAACAGGAATAGACATTGTCACGTTACATGATAAAATCTTTCAATATATATCTGTCAAGAAATAGAGAAAAATATTCTTGTGTTGTTGCTATAAAGAAAATCAGCTGATCTGCTCAATTTTCTTCACACTTCACTGAGAGAGTAAGAGAGCGAGACTGAGAGTCCTGAGTTGTGCGTATTAACCGCTAGGGGGTCTGTAAGACTTAGTAGTCCTCTTGCCCCCCCCCTGGGAGTTCCTGGCGGCCGGCACTGCCCCCCTGGAAAATACAAAATTAAAAGGAAACTACGTTTAAAAAGTAACACCTGACAATAACAAAGACTAAGGATTTGTCTGAATTCACTGTTAATACGAGGAGAGAAATGTTTTAGCCTTCTAAAAAGAATTCTTCATTACACAAGATGTACTATAGACGGAGAGCAGACTTAACGATCTTGCACTTATAGCTTTACACCCTATAAGGCTGTCTGAGCTCTCTACTGAAAAAATTATTGAAATGTTTGTGCAAGCAATCACAGAAAATTTGTAGCTTAAAAGAGTTGGTGAATATGTAGATTGAGTAAATTCTATCTAAAAATTTCAGAAGAAATTTCGTTTATTAGTAAAAATATAATTTTTAATGATGCTGTGATTATTGATTTAGTTAGCTGTGATGGAGTTAAGTGATAAATTTGTAAAATTAAAAAGTTAGTTTTTCAAGCAAAGGAATAATTTTTAGACTCTAAGGTTAGTCACACCCAAAAATGTAGTCTTTTTGGTGTATTTTTATGGTGAACAAAACAAGTCCAGGTGGGAGGGGGGCAAAAAAAAATTTAAAAAAGGTATCAATATTTTTTCGAAAAAGGTGTTTTTAAGGGGGGGGGTGACAATATTGCCAAGAGGGGGGACCCCAAATTTTTTTTGCGCGCTTACGCGCGCACATGGTTGCCCCCCCCCCAAGCAAAAGCCCTCGTACGCCCCTGGCTAGGGGCAGCATTAGAGGAATGGTATGAGACCTGTGTGTATTTTGTACCTATACAATTTGTAAATTTACATGTAAATTGTAAATTCTCTGTGTAAAAGGATATATACCTGTGTATCTCGTAAATCCTCTGTGTAAAGGTAATAAATATCCTTGTGTAAATTGTAAACTCTCTGTGTATAGGTAATATCCCTGTATAAAATATTTACTTTAAAGGTTACATACCTGTGAAAAATATTTACTTTATATCAATTGTAATTGTAATGTAAATATAAATTGTAAAATCTTCGTTTAAAGGTTACATCCCTGTGTAAAATGTTTACTTTATATTAATTGTAAATGTAAATGTAAATTGTAAATTCTCTGTGTAAAGGTTACATCCCTGTGTAAAATATTTACTTTAGATTAATTGTAAATGTAAATGTAATGTAAGTGTGAATTGTAAATTCTCTGTGTAAAGGTTTTATCCCTGTGTAAAAATATTAACTTTATATTAATTGTAAATGTAAATGTAAATGTAAATTGTAAATTCTCTGTGTAAAATATTTACTTTATTTACAAGTAAATGTAAATTGTAAATTCTCTCTGTAAAGGTTACATCTCTGTGTAAAATATTTACTTAATATTAATTGAAAATTTAAATGTAAATGTAAATTGTAAATTCACTTGTAAAACAAATGGAAATGTATCATGATGATTGCATGGCATGACACATATTGTTGAAACGTTAAAAGTTCTATTTTTTGTAATGTAGACTTAGTTCTCTTCTTATATTGAATATATATGTTAGGAATTTACAGTCTTGTGACGTAAATAATAATAAAAATAATAATAATAATAATAATAAAAATAATAAAAATAATAATAATAATAATAATAATAATAATAAAAATAATAATATTATATGCTCGGTCATACTGCTTTTAATGCAGGGGTCGAGTCAACACACTCGCGGTTATGGAAAATAAAAACATTATTAACAACGGTCAGAAGAGTCAGAATTGAAGTATTAACATAAAATAAAATTAATATTATCATTAAACTAAAACCTGGATGATCTTTGAAATTCAAGATAATTAATACAGACTTAATATCCTAATCCTAAACATGCTACTACGTCCCTGCAGTTTCAGCCCTTGCAGCTAGGAACAAATTATTATAAAGATCTAATAACAATTCTATAGTTTAATTTCAAATTTCTAAGTTAAGTTGTTTGATTTTTACAGAGAAAGCTTAGTTTTTTAGAATCAAGACAAAACTGGGTTTCCAAATGGCAAACTGTATGGTAATTGTCACTAATTGGTATTATATCTATTATATGTTTACAACCTGTTTTTGGTTCTGCAGTCGGAATTCTTTTTTACTTTGATCTTATAATCTCTTCATTCAGCGAGATATAGATGGATACTCCAAGAATGATCAGAAGATGTAAAAACTGAATCCATCGAATAAATTCCTATGAATTGAGTTACATAGCTCAGGGTATGTTGTATGGTACGGAGAGCGCTCTACCGGCAGGGGAGTAAACTCTAACAGCCAGGATCATGCCCAGTAAACAAAACATGGCTTAACCAATCATAGCACAGAGATTTTCACGTGACCATGTGAAAGCCAATGGAAACTTGGGAGTTGAGCAGTTTTACTTCATACTAGGAGTGAGACACATCGAGTGAGGTGAAACAAGTAAAAGTTAGTTATAGAAAATACCGGTTTCACAGTTATAAGGTTGGTTTTATTAACTCTAATATTTTACAGAAATGATATCCCATGTTTAACTTTTATTCAATTTTACTTGACGCGCGTTGAAAATGAATGGTTTCAGGTTTTTTTTCTGGTTGAATGAATCGACATTTCATCTCCAGGTTCTTCATGTATAGTCAGATCACTATAATACACTATACAGTTTAATTTATTACCCGAGTTTTTAATAACAATGTGCAGTTTTATTTTTAAATTCTTTAATACACATTTTACACTTTCTTATGGTAAGATTAAAATTTATAAACTTTAAAACTATAATATGCAACGAATAACAAACCTATCTGTATATCGACATATTTTAAGTTATAATTTGATTGGGCCTGTCCTACAGAAGGATTTTATTCTAAATTCGTACAAAGTAGCGCATACGACCTTTTTCGCTTGTTTGAAATAATAGACCAACGAAAAGGTATATAATAATAGCAAATACAATAAGCCTTCACTTAATTAGCAAAAACAGGTTTTAGGTTAATCCTAAATGACTTTTAACCAAGGCTTCTAGTTTACCGTAATTCAGTCAATTATTTTATTTATTTTATGGTTTTTTATGCGCCAACCTTTTATTCTATACAATTACGTCCAGAAATCATGGGAGAAAAGAAACCACTTATAAATCGTCTTCGATCTTTACGTCTCTCACGATAGTTTCAGTAGAAGTAAATATTTACTGTTATAGGGCCGATATAAGGATTCATATCTTTGATTGGATAATGAGATATATAGAAAGATAGATGTTACCGCCATGCGATTTCTATTGGTTCAGAATAGACACCAAACACAGGGCTGAACCCTGATTAGATCAGGCGCTAATGGACTCGGCATACTAGAGTGCTCTACATAAAGCGTTAAAACTAAAAAACCATTGACATATCTGAAATGTGGTGTACTATAAATCAAAATTGCCAAAAAAAAATATTTTTAATAGAGGATATCAAAGACGATTTTAATTGGCTAGTTTCTATGTTTATTTTCAACACATCCTGTACTTTAATTTTAGGCTTTTTAAAATTCAAAGGAGCTGATTCTTTGGCATACAATTACATTTTCTAGTCCTTGTAACTTTGCAACCTGATGTTGTTTAATATTTTAAACTTATATAATTTGATATCTATAAGGATTAATAGTTTGAAATATCTAACTTTCTTTAAGATTTGGTTGCATATAAATATTTAGGATTTAGAAAGAATTTGTGGCAAAGACTCAATTCCTTTGTAAAGTTTTAAGAGTGCAGTACGTTAAGGGTGAACTATGGATTCAATCCTCTAATGGAATGTGAACTAGGAAAAAGAATAAATGTTCAACATATTGTGTTCATGTATTAATCCATTCCTACATCTTAGATTAGTTTCGTCACATCATCAATCCTAATCCGTCCCTTCATTATTATTATTAATCATCATTACATGCAGTAGAATATATTTGCTTACTCAACTACACGTTTTCTTAACACCATTATATGGCTTAGGGGAGGGGGATCAACCGGCGGCGTGTGCCCCCTGTAAGATTAAATGGAAGGTTTACCCCGTGTGCCCCCCCCCCACAACCAAAATATTCCGTTACGGGCCAAGTTCTGGTGGTGGTGCACTTTTCCCCCTTTTAAATCAAATATGTTTTGAATTTTCGTGAAACCTAAAGAGAAGTTGTAAGAAAAGTTGAACTTGAAATTTGCCCAACCGTTCACTCTCCACTAAACGCTACAATATATCTTCGGTCAGTGTACGGCATATTACTGCAGAACTCACCGAAAGCTTAGTTGAAGGTGCTTTATGCACTTATTTTAGCAATGCACAGTGCAACAAAACAAACTTCACAAAGCAAATTAAAGTTCTATACCACACCTCCTAATCTTTTTACATTGCATTTTAGATTTTCATTTTCTTTTCATTCAAAAAGACTATTATGGATTATGTTTAGACGAAAGATAATTAAGTACTGCCAGGAACTACTTACTACTTAGGACTGCACAGACCTACGATTAAGGGACTGAATAGTGGACGAATATGACTTGTGGATAAATTACAAAAACCTACTATTGTCTGTAATTGGGGACTTTATATACATACAGAGCGTCCCATATCATATTAGATTATCTCCAATCTTTAACGCCAAAATACGCAAATAAAACTCAAAAATCTAGCATTTTATGCATAAAAAATTTCTATTAACCTTATTAAATTTTTTGAAATGTTTCGTTCTTCTTAAATTTTCTGATTTATCCCCCAAATTGTAATTAAGACCCATTGACGCGGTCTAATTTGATGTGGGACACCCTGTAGTAAATATGACTCACTAAGAAATACATGAAAAGACACCAGAAGAATAGAAATTTTTTGTCGCTTCGCTCACATGTTTAATTAATTTACTCATGTCGTTCATTTTAAAGCTGTTGGAAGTATATATATTTTTAAAAAGATTTTTACTTAAAATCCTGAAAACAGCGCTTTCTTTTTGAATTTTTTTTTGACAGTGGGGTACAGCCCCTCTTCAAAAGTGATAGTTGCACCACTGGCAGTGTACTATATATAGTGTGACAAAGCTTTATATTTGTATTTATTGTATTCTTTGTAGAACATATATCCAATAAAACAATAAGAAATACCACTTGCCTTTAATCCTCTGTATCGAAAGTCTGGACTGGAAACTTTAGATCTTCAGTAAAACTTAGTTTCTTTGATGTGAGATGACAGAATTAGATTTTAGGAGAAAAACATTCAATGCTTAATTTAAACTTTGGGAGAGATATTTATATTAAACCATTTAAAGGAAGTGTTCGCGAAAAATAAATGGGGGTATTATAGGCTTAATGCGATAAAAAAACGCTTTTGATCGCTAATAATCTTACTTCTCTCTGTTGTGTTTATAAGGAGAAAATTGTTAAAAACGACTTATACCGAAGAACGTAGTGTCCATACAAATTCAGAAAGATGCAACATTCAACTCGGATCGTAAATAGATCAATTTAATTCCAAACAAATCATTCAGATATTACAAACAATAGTCATCGATTATTTTGCGACGCATTCGTAAATTGTTGATATTTCATAATATTTTGTATTTTTAATGATCTGAGAGTTACTTTTGAAAACATTGAAAACTGTTTCGAGGATTTTTGATAATGAAGACGACATTTTCATATTTGCCAGGAATGTTCGAAAATCCAACGCCAGCGAAAATTATTTTAAAAAAACAAAATCGAAAATATCATGAAATATTAACTATATACGAATGCGTCGAAAAATAATCGATTACTACTGTTTGTAATAACTGAATGATTTGTTAGGAATTAAATTGATTTGTTTACGATCCGAGATGAATGTTGCATCTTTCCGAATTTGTATGGACGTTGCGTTCTTCGGTGTGAGTCGTTTTTAACAATTTTCTCCTTATAGGCGCAACAGATAGAAGTAAGATTAGTAGCGATCAAAAGCGCTTTTTTATAGCATTAAGCCTATACCCCCTTTCATTTTTCGCAAACACTCCTTTTAAAAGGGTCAACATATTTATTACCTCCCCCCTAACCTTTAGGAAAATGCATACTCCTTGATATCGAACCAATAGATTCATCTACAAATGTCAAGTACTTTTAGATGAATTCATTTAGTCTATGGTATTTATATATTTTGGGAGAAATTATTCCCCCCCCCCTGGTGGTAAGGAATGATTAAGGATTAAGAATTAAGGAAAATAAATGAACTATTGGACAAAAAGATCAAATATATTGATGTTTTTTTTAAAACTTTTTTCCTTTAATCTATGAAAATCATATGAAAATCCTAGGGGGGGGGATGTTAATTCTTCAAAAATACATCGAATTAATACTTTATAAAGGATAGGGAGGGAGGGGAGAGGGGGGTGTTGTTTGTTTGCTAATTTCCTGGCTTAGATTCATGTTTACCATCTCAAGTGTTCTATCACGTTCTCAGGATAGAACATAATCTTAGATATATAGATGTATACTATCCTGTTCTCAGGATAGAACATAATCTTTGATATATAGATGTTAACTATCATGTTCTCAGGATAGAACATAATCCTAGATATATAGATGTATACTATCCTGTTCTCAGGATAGAACATAATCTTAGATATATAGATGTATACTATCCTGTTCTCAAGATAGAACATAATCTCATATATATAGATGTATACTATCATGTTCTCAAGATAGAACATAATCTTAGATATATATATACTCCAACAGCTGTCCTGTAGCTTCTTGTTTACATACATCCGTTCTTTAGCTCTTGTTTACGGAGTAAACTCAAAACTGTCTTTAACATCTTGTACACAGGTTGTTTTTGAGACCGATGGGGAGGAGATATCATCTCAAAACATCCTTGGAATTAAACCCGTCACTACAGTCTACACCTGCTTTTTCTTGTCTTGAGGATAGAAAATGTCTGAATTAATTTTATTTGATATGTTCATATTTATCAGTGTAGGTCCACATGACTCAGGATTTACACCTTATCCTCCGGTAAATATTTTAAGAAAGAAATGCAAAGCTGTATTTTTACTCTTCCAAGATTCCATGAAAATGCATTTTGAAACTTGTAAGTTATATTCTTGCTGAATCTAAATATTACACGTACATGCTTAAATTTGATCACTAGGCGCCAGTAAACCTCGAGCTGAGGGGTGACGGGAGTGACTAGAGAATATACAAGATTTATAAAAACTAAAAACGGCTGTTTTTTTATTGTTTTGAGTAATTTTGATAGGCTCTCCTTTAAAAGTTTCTAGGTTGGTTCCTTGTGTAAATCTGCATCAGATCTAATGAGCTAAGCTTATCGTAATGATTAACGCTATTCTATCGATTACAATTACATACATAAATCTACGGGACTTTCGAGATCAATCATTTGCTCCATCTATCTGTTTAGGACGTGCACAAATGTCTTTCTCTAGATCTCCGTACTTTGTTTCATAAAGCCCTTTAATGTTCTCTCTCTCTCTCAATATCT